ATAAAATTCTATCATGAAGCTCAAAAGCTAAAGCAACAACATTTCAAATAATTCCAATAGATCTTCCCGTAAACATCTTCATTAAGCTGTGTTTCCCTTTGTGTCTCAAGAATAATATAGTAGTACTGTATATAGAATTACATAGACTTGTCACAGCACAGAAACAGGCCAATCAGCCCAACTAATCTGCTGATGTTTATACTCCACAGGAGCCTCCACACTCCTAATCCTTCTTCAACATCCCTTTATTCCCTTCCCCTCATGTATACATCTCGTTGCCTTTTAAAATATGTAGGAAGCTTTCTGCTTCAACCACAGATTCTGGCAGTGAGTTCCACATTCTCGATGAATATAGAAGTTCTTCCTCAACTCTCTGAGATATGCCATTGACCAGTCTGACTCTGAGCACCTTGTTGTGGCTTGTAGCTCCCTCTACAGTCTGATCCGATAATTCTGTCCAGACCTTTCAATTAATTCAAACCCAATTTGTCCTGGAAAGGAGCTTTCTACCTAATCAGTCTAATATTGAAAGGAATGCTGGATATCCGTATTGACTTTCCTGAACTAATGAATTTGAATCCTTTTAGACCTCAGGCTAAATGCATCCAATATTTGATTAAGAGAAAAATTCAAATTACACACTGAAAATCAAAGTTCATAATGCCGCATTCACATCACCCCAGAAAAAGTCAATTAACTCTTGCAAGGGCTCAGTGAGTGTGACTGAGTAAAGTAGTCTAATGAGCAACTGATTGCTGGGTTATCTAATCTGAGTCATTTGAATGAGAGAAGTTAGCCATGAACAAACTCTGTTTCTGCAGTGTTCTGTGCAGAAACATTGCAGTGTTCTGTATAGTGTCAGAGGCGCTGCCTTTAGGGTGAGGCATAAAACCAAGGTCCATCAGCCTGTTCTTCTGGTGGATGTTAACGATCCCAATACACTATTGGAAAAGAGAAGGGAGTTTCTCCCAGTTTCCCGAGCCAAGACTCCACAGAGAAATTGGTGTCTGTGAAAATGTAGCACAGCCCGAATCTGGCTTCAGAAATTAGTGGCAGGTGCAATCTATAGTCCTGTAGCTCAGTGGTTAGAGCACTCGCTTTGCAAATGAGACATCTGGGTTCAATTCCAGGCAGAGGGCGAAACCTTGGGCAAGTTTCCTTACTCCACACGCCTAATAATAATCCCTCCAAAATAAAATAATAATAAATTGGTCATTTTCAATCCACGACTGTTTGTGGGACGCTGCTGTGCGCAACTGGCTACCACGTTTCGCCCACAAATATACAGTCAATTCACTTCACAGTCTATTCTGTGAAGCGCTTTGAGATGTCGAGAAGACGTGAAAGGCGCTATATTAAATGCAAGGATTATTATAATCGTTATGTATCAAATTGTGAAAACATTGCATTCTTCTCTCTTTCCTAATCTGGGGAATTATCTCAAAAAGATACTGCTGTGGCTGGGGTAACTCTCCCCCAAATGCTGCAGTGCTCCAGAACCTCACCTGAGTCGTTCTTAATGTGCGAAAATGTTTGTAGACAATGAGCACCGCCTCACTATTCATTGGGTGACTTAGTTTGGAGCTGAGGTGACTCCAGTGTGTTGTGCTTAACAATGATGGATTCAAGTCAGCCTTTTGTGGTGGTCTCTTGTAGTCCCGGTTCCCGAGCTAGACGGGGATGCAGTTTTCCAGGAAATTGCTGATGGACAGCCTGTCTTATCAGCAGGATTCAGAAGGGGCAGAGGAGCAGGAATACTTCTCGCTAATAATAATAATCCTTGCGTTTGATACGGTGCCTTATCACGTCTCCTAGACGTCTCAAAGCGCTTCACAGAACATACCGTAAAGTGAATTGACTGTATATTTCGCCTTAACAAAAACCGAAACGCAGCAGCCAATTGCGCACAGCAGTCTCCTACAAACAGTCATGGATTGAGTGACGCCTGGCTCCTGTTAACCCCTACAAGCCAAAGCCCTACCAGGTAGGGTCGTCCTAGCTGGACAAGATAGGTCTGCATATCTGACTGCAGGCAGACCAAAAAAAAAATTGTGAGTCGCCTTCTGTATTTCAGTTTAGGAAAACTGGCTGACGCTCTCCATGGTAACCAACTTCAAAAAGGTTAATGAAGTGAGTGAGTGAGTCACTGGGAGCTGCAACCACTCAACCCAGTAGGGTCTGTGCCTGATGGGTTGCCCAGGCTGCTGGCCACCAGGTGCAGGAACAGCAGATCAAACTAAAGTGTGTGTGAGTGAGTGAGTGCGGATACTGCCCCAGAACTATTGTTAATAAAGTAAATCAAATGCACCGCATCTTTCTTTGCAACGATTCTGAAACTTGTCCTCCTCTTCTCCCCTCCCCCTCCCCTCCACTCCTCCTCCTCCCCTCCCTCCCTTGTGGTTGGTGATAGTTTCACAGTGGACGCTTCCATCTCCACTGGCAACGGAGTAACAACAACTTTCCCCCAGCGAGTCAGGACTGGCTTGAGAGACTGGGACCTGGGCATCACCTGCCTTCTCTCTCCCCTGCGCTTTAAACCCTAAACCAGGAGCCCGCAGGCGCTCAGGTAAAAACGGGGTGCGTGGGGGGCGGGTGTGATGGTGTGATCAGATGTACATGTTGCTGCTTCCACCCACTTTGTTCCAAAGTGAGAGCAGGCGATTCTGTCACCTTTACCTCCTATCAAACCCAGTGCTGGCGTTTGCTCAGATGCTCAGTTTGCTCCCCTCCCCATAATTTAATATCATCAGTAAATGTAGAAATTGGTCTTCTGATGCCGGTTTTTCCATATGGTGAATGAAGATGGGGAAACAATAATAATAATAATAATAATAATTCATGCGTTTGACACAGCAGCGTCTCAAAGCGCTTCACAGAATGTACTTTAAAGTGAATTGACTGTATATTTTGTGGGTGAAATAGATCCCAGGGGCTGCCAAAGCCAACCAAAATGGAGACAATTCTTAAGCAGTAAAATTGTAAGGAGCAGAAAGTTGCAGACTGAGTCTATGTGGCCTGTTTCTGTTCCTGGGCAGTGACCTGAATGACAGAAATACTTTGAATGATGGCAATTCTAGGGCAGTGGAGGACCACTCGGGATCAGCTAATCTACTGCCCAGGATCAATATCTAAATACATGTGTTTACAGGAGGACCTGCTCTATGTCGGATTGAGCTGCAGACTGGAAGATTGCCATGAGCTGCTGCATCAGTAACATGACTGACATCCTGGAAAACAAACAGTTTCTACAAAGTGACTTGTAAGAGCCTTCTTACGTGATTTCTAAAACGTGTACAAGAAAAATGAGCAGGTTTTCTTTATTTTTCTGGGCACAAGCATTACACTCAGAGACGTTAATCTGCAGGAAAGGCGCTGTATAAATGCAAGGTGTTGTTATCTTTTTACCTCGATAAATACTTGTTGCTGCAGCCACTATGGAATGATCATTCAGCAGGTTTAAGCAAAATATTTGCAATACAGGTATTTAGGTTACATTGGTGTCTACTTTGAAATATTCACAGAAGAAAAGCAGAAAACTCTGCGTTCCTCAGCCTGAGGGGTCAGGGTGGGGGTGGTGAGTGGGGTGGGGCCGGGGGTGGAAATCAGCAAAACTCTGGTACTTGCCAAAGTGTTAGGGAGGATAGGGGAATCCAGAGAGTGTAATCCCACCTCCCAACAGCTGTCTGTTTTGCTTCGTGGCCTATTGTTCCAGCAACTTAACTTTGAAAAATGGCTGCGTCCTCCCCCCTTACCCACCCCCACTTCCCCGTCCCCCCACCAAAATCCAAATATTCAGGTCAGCTGAGGTTAGGCTCAACTTGGTGAATCTTGATCCTTTTGTAAATATAGCAAATGATACTCTATTTAGAAGTCTTGTAAAACCAGGAGCACAGTACCTGATGAAAGTGACCTTACAAACACTCTGTTATAGTCCAAAGCCAATGTCCAGCAAAACACGGGCAAGGACAAGACCTCTGTGGCAAGATGTGGCCATCACCGACCTTGAGCCAGATGATGGATTACTGGTGACGCACATCAATCAAACCAGAGACCTTTTGGTAGGTTGTAGACTTTCTCGTAAAATCAAGAACGAGAGCTGTTTAAATCACTGTGATTTCCTGTTATTGTGTCTTTGCTGCATTTTACCCACTAAAGTTAAAGGAATCTGTTGGTTTGCAGCCAACAATCAGCAGAATCAATTTTCCATTTTGGCTCAGCTCATCCTGGGTCAGTTGATACCATGTTCCTCTCTGAAGGTTGTGGGTTCACATTGAGACTTGAGGTCACAGGCGAGACTGACACACCAGCACCGTACTGAGGGGAGGGCTTCATTGTCACAGGTATCTCAGGATGAGACGTTAAGCTAAGATCCTGTCTGCTTGATCTACGGGTGAATGTAGAAATCTCACAAAAATATTGGAATCGGACAGGGAGTTTCTCCTAGTGTCCTAGCCAACAATTCTCTAGATATATTGGCCATTCATCTCATGGCCGTTTCTAGGACATTGGTGTGCGCAAAAGGCTGCCATGCTTTCCTACAATTATAATAATACATAATAATAATTATTGGATTTGATATAGAACCTTATCATGTCATTGAGGCGTCTGAAAGTGTTTCACAGGATATACTCTAAAATTAATTGACTGGGTATTTTGTGGGTGAAACACGGCAGCCAATTGCGCACATCAGTGTCCCACAAACAGTCGTGGATTGAGTGATCAAATTACCATTATTTTATCTATTTAGAATTACACAGTCACTGCACTTGACCGTTATTTGGGATGACCTCCCGACGTGAAAAGCGCTATATCAAATGCAAGGATTATTATTATTATTATTATTACTATATAGCAGTTTGAGTGTTTGATGAGGTGCTATAAAATGCAAATTCTTTCTTTCTTGCAAAGAGAGTGCCGGGAAAGCGAGCTCAGGCCAGGGACAGCCAGACCTCAGAGGAATGGTTGGCAAATCATAGTCTGGAATACGAAAAAGTCCGGGTCCAGGAGTTCTTAAAGCAAGGACAAATTGTCATGTGAGTACTGCAGACGTATCCAATGCAGTGCTGGGGGTGTGCTGCATTGTCAGAGGTGCCATCCTTCGAATGAGACATTAAACCGAGGTCCCATCTAAATGTTCAGGTAGATGTTAAAGATCCCATAGCACTGTTCGAAAAGGGAAGGGATTTTCCTTTGTGGCTTGCCCAATAAATCCCCTGTTGTGCTGTGCACAACTGGCTAATACAATTTGCCCATAAAAATATACAATCAATCCACTTTACAGTATATTCTGTAAAGAGCTTTGAGATGTCTCAACGTCGTGATAAAGCGCTATATCAAATGCAAGTATTATTATTAGTAGTAGTCCATTTGTGGGGTTTGTTTGTAGCTTTTTTTCACAGTCTCTGATTTTGCCTTCCCCCCCCCCCCTTTGACCAGGAACAAGGGAATCAAACACTTGCAGTTCAGTGCGCACCAGATCGATACGTTTGAGTCTCGAGTTTGTGAGTAAGTACTGAACCGAAATCCCTGTATTTTCTCAATACGCTTCTCAATACGAGTCACTTTTAAGTGTAAGTGGTGTTTTTTGGTAGGCAAATGCTAGTAGGTAACATGCGGCAGCAACATCCCACAGAATGTGAGGACGGCGAGGACTATTGCGAGGATACTTGGGAGACCCTCCTGTTCTTCTAAATATTGTCTGGGGGAGGGAGGCTAAGAACTGAGGTGAAGAGTTGCCGTTGGAGATTACATCATGAAATAGTAAAATCTAACATGCTGTGGAGCAAATAAGCTGTGCTTCTTGTGACTGAACTTATTCACTGTTTCAGGCTGATTGAGGTGTACCAGCACCGTCTGACTTGGCTGGCAGAAGGCAGCAGGAAGGTACAGACCCGCTTACACTCAAGCGCCGGTCTCGTAGGTCAGAGGCTGTTGTAAAATACGTAGGGCGGAAATCACGTGTTTATCACACGAAGCTCCTCATATGGTAACGGATAATTACAGTATCATTGGCGGAGACTTGTCGAGGACTTTTTTTTAAAAAAGAAAAAATATCTGAACACCTTAATTCTTTATTAAGTGGAGGAAGAAGCATTGCTCACGTGCTCTTGTGTTTGTGACAACTGGTGCTGTTTGCCCGGCAGATGTTTGGGCTGGTGACAGGAAGCCGGGTCGGGGTGCTCGTTGATGCCTCTGATGCTAACTGTGGTGTAGGGCGACGGCAAGATTTTCAGAAAGCTCTTCTGGTTAGTGTCCTCGCTGCAAAGAGGTGATGTTACAATTACACAGAGCCATGCAACTCGCTTGATGCATGAACTGTTCCCTTAAATGGGTCGGCGGGGAAATAAACCCACATGGTGTGGACCAGAGAAGTCCCCCATTCCATTACTGGTGGGTTCTGAGGAAGCAGAGCTTAGTTAAGGTGGTTGGGCTGTTACAATTAGCCTCAGTTCCCCTGGGCCAGGGAGGAGGGAACATCTGCTAGGATTCCTTCTCTTGTCTGAAACAGCACACTGTCAGTTATTTAGTGAGGACAGGATTAGGGTTCAGCTGTGATGACTGTTCTGTCAAACACCCAATATACACTCACTGTATGGGCTCACAAGTGAATAATGTCTTCTTGGGTGAGGTAGAAGGAAGAATAAGAACTTGCATTTTTATGGCACTTTATTGTCTCAAAACGTCTCAATTATAAGTCCTGTTGTGGGACTTGAACTCACAATAATAATAATACTTGATTTGATATAGCGGCTTTCACGTCGGGAGGACGTCTCAAAAGCTTCCCAGAATATACTGTAAAGAGTAGTGACTGTAATTTGTAGGCAACCTCCTGACTCAGAGACAAAAATGCTTATTAGCAAATAAGCCAAACTGACACTTAGGTGAGGTACCAGAGAGGAGACTGAGCGAGAGTCGAAAGAGAAGGAAATGAACAGTGTATTTTAAATTAAAAGAGGCTGATATGGCATGGTGTCAATCTTGAGCTAAACTTAGTGTTTTATTCCATGCAGTGTTTACTGGATGAACAGTTGTCCTACAGGAAACAGCTTTACCTGGTATCCTTCGGTACTTCCGTCTCACCTCTCTGGGAGAATGTTCGAGACGTTAACATCCGCACGTAAGCATTATCTACTTGTGAAATGAAACTTCTTTTTGCGTGTGTGAGTATGGAGGGGTTTACATGTGTTTATGTTCTGCGGATGTGGGAATGAGGGCATGTGGGAGTTGTGGATGATAGGGAGGGGGAGTGTGTTAGTCTGGGATTCACCTGCCTCTTAAAGCCAATGTTTGATACTCTCCTGATTGCTCAGTAGCTAAAGCTGCTGTCTCTGGCATGTTTCTGTGCTGAGTAAACTGTTCTGAGCTCAGATAATGAGTATGTTTTAGCAGTTACTCAGATAATGAGTATGTTTTGCTCTGAGCTAGGGAAGGGCCCTGGAATCCTCTGATTTTCTTTTCCACTTGTGCTTTTGAGGTTGATTAAAATTAAATTGAGTAGCACATCTATTGATAATCATCAGGCAGGTGTCGGAAATAAGCATGGTCTCTCTGAGTTCAGATTTTGATAATAATAATAATCCTTGCCTTTGATATATCACCATATCACTTTGTCGAGACATCTCAAAGACCTTCACAGGATATACTAGAGTGGGTTGACTGTGTATTTTGCGGGCAAATGCTGTAGCCAATTTGCATGCAGCAATGTCCCACAAACAGTCCTGGAATACAATTACCAATTTTATTTGGGGGATTTGTTGGCCAAGACACCGGGAGAATCTTTCGAATAATGCCATGGGATCTTAGTTTAACTTCTCGTCCGAAGAACGGCATCTCCAGCAATGCAACACTTCCCCAGAACTGCATTGGAGCATCATCTAAGACTAAAGTGTGATAGTGGTCAGTCAGCCTGTCCGTCCTCTGAATACTTGGAGGTATAGACTTCACCTCAGTCATGTGAGCAGAATTCCTAATTGCTTGCTGGACAAAGATGGGCAGAAATGGAGAGAAAAAAGGAAGGTAACTTTAACGCTTTGTGATGTTAAAGTTACATTATAGCTCCTGACGGAAGAGATTTTTGGTTAATATTGTACATTGGATTCCACATGGTGACCTGATAGCTGCACTTTTCTCATATGAACAATGGTATTAATGAGTATGTCTGGCAACTTTACTGTACTTTGCTCCGCTGACAATTTTTGCTTTCACATTTCTTTCAACCTTCCATGTTGGCTGCTGCCGGGTACAGCCTGGGTGAGGCGAGGCAGTGGGTACAGGAGCTGGAACCCAGTGGAGGCTGTAACCTGCTGAGAGCCATGAAGCACCTTCTCCAAGTGAAGGAGCTGAACTCACTGCTGATTGTACTGGGAAGCTGGTAAGGAGACTCCGGAAAAAAAGTCACGATTAAGAAATCCGTAACTTCAATGCTCTGAAGTCACGATTAAGAAATCCGTAACTTCAATGCTCTGACTCCCGGGAATGCCACTCCAGCATGACGTGAGCGATGGAATTCCAGATCCCGGAAAGGGTCTGATTTCTTAATTAAGGAATCCGTTTTGAAATGACCCCCAAATTAATCTTCCAGACATCTCAAAGCGCTTCACAGAATAACAACAACAACAACAACAAGATTACATTTGTATAGCGCCTTTCACGTCGGGAGGACGTCCCAAGGCACTGGACAGTGTACAGCATTTCAGACCCGAGCTGGAGTCGGGGGTGGGGGTGGGAAAGGGAGGGGAGGGGAAAGGGGGTAGGCGATGGCATAGAGGGTCTTGAGGCAGGACTTGAAGGAGGCTAAGGAGGGGGTGAGGCGGAGTGACCGGGGGATGGAATTCCAGAGGTTGGAGGAAGAGTGGCTGAAGGCTCTCCCCCCAATGGTGGAGTGGGTGGGTCGGGGAACGTGGAGCAGGCCAGAGCCGTCTGAGCGGAGGGAGCGAGCGGGTTGGTAGGGGAATTAGTTAATTAATTAAAAAAAGAAGACTGTAAAGTGAATTGACTGTATATTTGTGAGCGAAATGCGGCAGCCAATTGTGCACAGTAGCGTCCCACAAACAGTCGTGGATTGAAGTGGCCAATTTATTGTTGTTTTTTTCTTGAGGGATTATTATCAGGCGTGTGGAGTAAGGAAACTTGCCCAAAGTTTTGCCCCGCCGGGAATCGAATCCAGGTCTCTCGCTCGCAAGGCGAGAGCTCTAAGCACTGAGTTACAGGACTCCGTGTTAGACGGAGACAGAGTACAATTGACTTGTTATGTTCTTTGTGAAATGATTGATCACTTTGTGTCCATGGTGAGGGTACTGTGTGACCATGCGCTGGTGGCTGCTAGCTTCTGTTTTGCAACGATGTTCCTTTCAGCCCCGACCAGACTTCTGAAATTTGGGTTGACTATTTTGAGCAGTGCGCCCTGGGGAAGCCGTTACCCCTCCACACCATCGCCTACGACTGCAGTAGTTACCTGACCCAGGTATGTGAGGGCAGCGGCTAACACAATAATAATATAAAATATAATAATAATATTTGCATTTGATCGAGCGCCTTATCACATCTTCGAAGGGTCTCAAAGTGCTTCGCAGACTATACTGTAAAATCAAACAGTCGTGGATTGAGTGACCAAATTATTATTATTTTTTAAAATCTATTCGAAAGGAACAATGTGCTAGGTTCTGGACCAGACATAATGTAAAAGCTTTGTAATCCATGGCCCATTGCTTGAAGTAGTGTCATCTTGGCTGGTTTGACAGCAAACTTGTCTGTGGGTCAAATCCCACGTCAGGACTTTGAGACACAGTTTATGGCAACTCCCCAGTGAAGAGCTGGAGGAGTGTGATATAGTCGGAGGTGCCATATTTTAGATGGGACAATAAAACAGTGATCCCATTTTGCCTGCTCAAGTTCCCACGACACAGTTAGAAAGCAGTATGTGGGTTTTCCCGGTAACTGGCCAACAATCCTTCATCCATCTCGTGCCTGTTTGTGGAACCTTCTGTATGTTTAATGGCTGCTCAGTGGGCAAACTCAAACTGCCATTACCAAACACAGTCAGTCACTAACTGCACTTATTTATGAAATCCTTTGGGACGTTTTGAGTCTATATATAAAATAAGGCCTTCCCATCCATTTAGTGAATAACACAAACTGGACCCTGATGTTCTCTAACATAATGGACGTTGTGTGAATTACTATGTTGGTTTCTGTAAACTTATTCTGACTTTCCTCTTCGACCAAGCTTATGATCACCCCCTGGCTTGGTGTCGAGCTCCGCCACTGTTAAGCACTCTGAGACGCTACCTTGTGTGAGGGGCGCTGTATAAATATTGTCATTTGGTAGTGGTGGTTTATTGATCCTTAAGTTCTTTGTTTGAACCCAGGCTGCTCTGCAGAGACTGGCACAGGCTACAGGAGGAAGGTATCACTGCTATTCTTCGGACTGTGAGGTATTGAGTGCTATTTCTGAGTACCTCTCTCTCTTTCTCTCTCATCTCTTCACATTCCTAAACCTGTGCCCTTTCGTCCTCGCTTTCTTAGCTTGTCTGGAAGCATTGTTCTATACTTCCAGGTCTGCCAATGTGCTGTCAGCTTGTCTGGCAAACATCAGGGCCTGGATGAGTGCCAACTTCCTGTAGCTGAATGTGGACAAGATGGAAGTCATACTCCTTGGCTTCCGTCAATGTCTTCACTCCTGCGGATCTGAACTCCTCAACCTCCCTGGGCTCTCCCTCAGACTCACTGAACCAGTGAGCAATTTAGGCGTCCGGTTCGACCCCCAGATGTCCTTCCTCCCCCACATCTGATCCCTGATCAGGACTGCCTTCTTCCACCTCCGCCACATTGCCCGCCTCCTGCTCGCCCCTCGCACACTCCGTCCCACCATCGGAGGTTGCGCTTTCAGCCATTACACCTTGAAACTCTGGAACGCTCTCCCTCAGTCCCTCTGCCTTGCTCCCTCGCTCCGCTTTTTCAAGTCCCGTCCGAAAGCCTTCTGCTTCGACCGTGCTTATGGCACGGAGACAGGTTCCGCCACTGTTACATGCTCTGAGACGCTAACCTGCTTGGAGGGCGCTATGTAAGTGCAAGTTGTTGTTATTGTTGTTGTTACACTGTGTGATCACTTTTTCCCTAAACTTGTTTGGTTTGAGTGTTCTGGAGGGTATTTTACAACCCCCGAGGCTACGACCAGTGTGCACTCCTGATAACAAACCACCTCTTATTCCTTCCAGTGATTTCCTGTTTATTTAAAGTCCTGCTTGTTGAAGCATTGCCGTCAGGTAAACTAAGATTATTTCTGCTGGACGGCCAATCAGTAGCAAGAGAGTGCAGATTTAAGATGATCACTAAAATTGCTTTCAAGCAGGTAAGGTAATGTTGCTATCATTTACTCATCCCAAGCACCAGAATGAAGTGGACCTCAGCAGTGATCGTCACCTTCTGCTCAGGGAGATCCAGCGTGCTGGTGAGATCCTCAACATGATCACAAACCTGCGGCAAGGGATAATCGGAGATACTCCGGTCAGCATCTTGCCAGAGGTGAATCTTGTCTCTCTTACTGTGATTGGTAATTTTGTCACTCTGCTGTCCTTCTCATTTATGAGCACTGAGCTCTCTTGATAAGAATAAAATAATAATAATCCTTGCCTTTGATACAGCGCCTTATCAACGATGCTGAGAAGCCTTAAATCGCTTCACTGAATATGTTATAAAGGGGATTCTTGTGAAACACCACTGCCCATGTTAAATTGTTTGGTTTCCTCATTTCCAGATTTCTGCTGAAGTCGCCATTCCCCCTTCCCAGCTCCTGACCTGGCCACTCAACCACAATCTGCCACTACACCTCGAAGCCTCAAACTTCCTGCCTAAACCCTCAGCTGAGTGGCTGAGGCAAACTGGCTTAAAAGGTACTTGCACACTCCATTATACACAAGACCCATTGTATCTCCAACCGTACAGTAATCAGATGTTGTTTGGTATGGGTTCAGATCCCAAGTGTAGTGCTCAACCACCCACCCACACCGGGAAGGTCTCCTCGGATTAATTCCACGTCTGTGCTGAGATGTATCAAATACAAAGATTATTATATTGTTATTATAATGGAAACATGAGCTGATTTTAGCATCCCTAACTCTATTACTGAGGCCAATTAGAGCCAACTGGATGTAGAAGGCCATCCGACGCTACCATCCTCACACACAAGTGGCCACTGTTCACAAACTGCTGTCCTGGTTGAGATCCACTAAGGATTATTATTATTATTTTCCGCTCTCATTTTCCTATTTCCATCATTCGCGGTGGTTCTGTTGCAGCCAAGAAGCTCAGCCTGTACCAGGTTCTGGCTCCCAACGCCTTCTCCCCCCAGGAAGCCTTCATCCCAATCCTCCGCAAGACCGTTTCCTCGACCCTCCACCAGGTAATGGTAGAGCAACCACTAACACAAGAGCTGCCTGTGCTCCGGGGTGAAATCAGTCAAAAGTAGACTCTTTAATACTGCACACATCAGACCAACATTTCATTGGAATGTGATTTTATTTTGTGTGACAAATCAAATCTCAGGACAGTGGGACTGTATCTAAACTTGTGTTAAACTGTTGTTTCTCTCATAAATGTTCTCCCCTGTTCTTCATCCACTGGGTTATGGTTCCACGGGACGCCCTGTGCCACTTACCCAAATGTCCACTATTGACACGGGTGCGTTGACAGAGTTGGCAGAGTATTCAGCTGTGTAAGCGGCATCACCGTTGAGTACCAATCCTCTTCTCACCTGTCATCCACACACGTTGGTTCAATGCACCATCTGAAGAACACCTCCTTGCACATTGTTTAAACCCTGCCTTAAGACTTTCTTCTTTGATTGCTTTTGGTTATACTCCCCCCCCACCCCACCCACCCACCCACGCTCAGCCAGTTCCGTGACGTGATTTCAGATGCGCTCTCGACATGAAAAACACTGTATCAATAATGTACATTATTGTCTTGTACAGAGGGCAATGATGCAGTTTGAATGGCATGATGGGAGTGTGAAGAATGTCCATGTGGATCCAGCACTGTTATACAGATACCAGGTGAGGCACAGGCTATGGGAAGGACTGCATGTTACGTGAATGGACTGCGTTTATTGAGGGGTGCGAGGAGGGCAATGTGTGTGTGTGTGACAGAGAGAGAGAGAGAGACACTATTGTGTGTCTGTTTGTGAGTGTGTGAGAAAGTGAGGCTGTGTGTGTGTGTGGAGGGAGTGCGCGCGTGTGAGAGAAGGGCAGTGTTGTGTTTGTTTATGTTTGTGAGTGGGTGAGAAAGAGAGGGAGGCACTGCACTGTATGTGTATGGGTATGTGTGTGTGCGGTATGAGAGAAAGGTACTTTGCGCGTGCGTGTGTGTGGGCGAGTGAGTGTTTGTGTGTGTGAGAGAGAGAGAGGCACTGTGTGCCCTCTGTGTTTGTGTACGTGTGCGCGTGTGTGCTGTGTAAATGAGTTGACCCTTACACTGTGCCACATCTACGACTCGCTTTTCATAAACCTCATAAATGGGCCTGGTGTCAGGAATGCCTTTGGCAGCAATGTTTATGCCCTCAAGGTATTGCGCATCCAATTATGATTATTTCTCCATCTGTTGTAGAAGCAGTTGGGTCAAGCAGTGAGAACCTTTGAGCACAGAGTGGATTGGCTTTCCACTGACAGTCGGAAGATTTGGGGAACTCTGTGTGAAAAGAGGTAGATTCCCTGTGTTGCCTGGGTTACTGTGAGCCAGAGTGGACACGAACCAGTATTGCCTGTGGGCTGGAGCGGTGGGTGTGGGGGGAGGGGGGAAGGAAATCGACCAGACGTTTCCAGATGTTGGGCGAGGACAGAAGACCAGCGCAGCGGGTCATATTCTGTCGTAAAATTGTATCTTAGAATTTAACACCTCAACCTTCACGGTTCTGTCCTTGACTGGTTCAGATCATACCTTTCACACCGTCTCCACTTCACCTCCACAAGCGGTTTCTCCTCTATTCCCCGCAAAGTCTAGTGTGACGTTCCTCGGGGCTCTATCCTTGGTCCCCTCCTCTTCAATTTCTATATGCTCCCTCTTGGTGTCATCATCCGAAGACATGGGGGCAACTTATGCTCATGTATGCGGATGACATCCAACTCTACTCCCTGCCTCCACCCTTGACTCCAGGACCACTGCTGTCCTGACAGAATGTCTGTCAGACATCAAGTCCTGGATGAGAGCTAACTTTCTACAGTTGAACGTCAACAAGACCGAAGCTCTCCTGATTGGCTCCCGTCAGCGCCTCCGCACCTCAGGTGCTGACAGCATCACCATCCATGGATGCACACTCCACCTTACTAAGCCAGTCCGGAACCTTGGTGTCTTGTTCGTTTTCTACCCCACATCCGTGCCATGTCTGCTCTGCCTTCCCCCACCTCCGCAACATTGCCCGGCTCCGCCACTGTCTCACACCACAAGCCACCGAAACCCTCACACACGCTTTCATTACATCGAGGCTTGACTATGCAAACTCCTTGTTTGTCGGCCTCGCCAACTCCTCCCTCCACAGGCTGCAGATCATCCAGAACTGTGCAGCCCACGTCCTCTCCCACACCAGGCTCTGTGACCTTATCACCCCCATCCTTGCCCAACTCCACCCCATCACACAGAGGATACAGTTCAAGATCCTGGTCCTCACCTTTAAGGTCTGCCATGGTCTTGCTCGTCCCTACCTCTGTGACTTCCTAACCCCCTACCATCCTGCCCGCTCCCTCCGCTCAGTGGGCTCCGGCCTGCTTGATGTCCCCCACCATAGGCGGGCGGGCCTTCTGCCACTCTGCCCTCCATCCTGCAGTTCCTCCGCCTCGCCCCCTCCCTTCAAGACACATCTCAAGACCCTCCTCTTAATAACCTTGTTATCTAATTTCTAACTGCAGCCCTCGCTCCTTCCTCTCCCTCCCTCCCCCACCCACTTTTAAAGACAGTCTTAAGACCTATCTTTTCGACGGCACTTTCAATCACTTTTTCTCTCCCTCCTCACCGTCTTCAGCTTTGCCGCACCCCACCCTCACTTTGGGATGTTCCCCCAATGTGAAAGGCGCCGTATAAATATCAGTTGTGTTTTCAGAGTGGTTCTCTTGGTGGATATCTCTGTCTCCAATTCCATGCACATCGCCCACATACAACACGCTGTGCGGCTGATACTGGAGCAGCAGATGACCAACAAGCATCGCTTCAATCTCATAGCGTGAGTCTCCGTGACACAGCAAACTCTTCATGTTGTCGGTGGAGATTTAGTGAAGATTGAAGCTAATAATAATAATAATCCTTGCATTTGATATAGCACCTTATCACATCTCCGAGACGTCTCAAAGTGCTCACAGAATATACTGTAAAGTGAATTGACTGTATATTTTGTGGGTGAAACGCGGCAAGTAATTGCGTACAGCAGTGTCCCACAAACAGTCATAAATTATTTTTTTGAAAGGAATATTACCCTCAGAAAAGCGATCTGCCAAGTGACTAGCAACCGGATTTCTATTGACTGCGAGGTAAACAGAGGCGTGTGGAGTAAGGAAACACGCTTAACGTTTTGCCCTGCCTGGGAATCGAACCCAGGTTTCTTGCTTGTGAGGCGAGGTTAGGATCTAAGTACGTTTGAGTGAAAAATGACTGCGTATGTACTGCTAGGGTTCGGGTCTACGGGGGCTCACGTTCACAGTGGCTGAGCTTGGTTTACTCAGTTATGCTGGCTAGGGATTCACATTCACACTGTTGTCATGGATAGCAACTGACATATACATGACTGACTGTTTCCTCTTGTATTTTCAAACTGTGGAGTCCTGTAGCTTAGTGGTTAGAGTGCTCGCCTCGCAAGTGAGAGACCTGGGTTTGATTCCCGGGCTTTGAAACTTCCTTTACTTAACATGAAATGCAAAGTTTGTTAGTTCAAATATCAGAAATACAACAAACAGGTCAATGGTATGGACAAATGTCCATTTAAAAGCAACAGAATCAGTAGTTGGTCAGTCCATAAATCTTTCGAATCTTTGCTTCTTTGGGAGAGCTAATTACTGAAATTGACAAACAGCGGCAAAGTCTTGCATCAGACAAAATATCTCTTGCTTCAGATCAGAAATTTCTTGCTTGGGAAATTGATCACAAAGTCAAAATTGAATCTTTAATGATGGTCAGTTGTTACACGCTGTTATTCTTCTTGTCCCGTTACCTTTCAATCGATTTCAGACGTTCTGGAATTTCTGCCGTTTCCTTCTTCCCGAAATTGCTGGAGTTAACAAAAGTTGTTGTAACGATGGAACAGTCCAAGTCTGACGGTTTTTAACCCCGAAGACAACACATTTGCTTCACCACTTCATATCGTCACATGAAAAAATGGCTCTTGTGTGGACAGCACATGATATGCTCTGTCCTCGGCTGAACAAAGTATAAAAAATTACCGTAATAGCTCACCTGCCCCCTCCTCCTCTTCTGTGACCATTACCACATCATCTGGATCCCGGACACACCTTTTCTCTCTCTGGTTTAACTGTTTTGTTGAATCATTAACACCTCTTTAACCCCTCATCCCCTGTCCTCTACCCCATTTTCTCCTTTGTCTTCCTTGCCCTACCTCCCCCCTCTCTGTTAGCCCTTAAAAGCCTCTCCCTACCAACACGCCCCAGTTCCGACGAAGGGTCATGGACCCGACACGTTGACTCACTTTCCTTTCTCCATAGATGCTGCCTGACCTGCTGAGTGTTCCCAGCGACTTCTGTTTTTGAACGAAGCATAGTTCGGCCATACATCTTTTATAATCAGTTTTCCACAGACAGCTTAAGAATAAACAATCTTTCCTTTCTCACGTACATGAAGCAATTATCTCACATAAAAAGAATAATAAAATACAATCTGCAGATTTGTTTTGAACACTTTAACACAACAATGATTGCAACATGAATTTGTTATGGGAAAACATCTTCAACTACTTCATCGTTAATACAACATTAATGAAAGATGAATTTGTTATGGACAAACATCTTCAACAATCATGAATAACTCATCTACACGAGTCCTGTAGCTCATCGGTCAGAGCACTCTAATTCCCTAATTCTAATTAATCTAATTCCCCGATCCCTCCAGTCCTTGCCAGACTGCACTGGCTGCCTATCCCAGAGAGGATCGATTTCAAGATGCTCACCCTTGTATTCAAATCCCTCCACTCCTCTGCACCCCCCTAGCTCTCTGACCTCCTCTCTCCTCCAAACAGCACCCATTGCCTTCTATCCTCTGGGTCTGGCCTCCTCCTCGTCCCCCGAGTCCTCCGCTCCACCCTCGGCGGCCATGCCTTCAGCCACTGTGCCCCGAGGCTCTGGAATTTCCTTCCTCACTCCCTTCGCCTCGTCCCCTCTCTTCCTACTTCCAGGTCCTTTCTGAAGCCCTTTCTTTTCGACCGCGCTTTTGGTCACCTTCCTCCCCTTCCCCCTGACTCGGCCCCGGGATTCCTTACCGTGAAGCGCTCTGAGACGCCGTCTGGCGTGGAGGGCGCTATATAAATCCAAGTTGTTGTTGTAGCACTCGCCTCATAAGCGAGAGACCTGGGTTTGATTCCCGGCAGGGCGAAACCTTAGGCATGTCTCTTTACTCCACACACCTGATGATAATCCTTCTAGAAAAAAAAACTAATAAATTGGTCACTTCAATCCGCGACTGTTTTGTGCGCAAAAGGCTGCCGCGTTTTGCCCACAAATATGCAGTCAATTCACTTTTACAGTATATTCTGTGAAGCTCTTTGAGACATCTAGAAGACGTGAAAAAAAAAGGCTAGCAGATGGACACGCGATGCAGTTTCTGTGCCTGTGTTATGTACCCCAGCGCAGAGCGGGAGAGGAGGGAGGGGAAGGGAATCATTTTTGAGAATTACTGACATTTTCTTCTTTTAAGCTTTGGTTCCGATGTCGAACAGTACCAGCCCCAATTAGTGTCTCCAACTCCAGATCATCTGCAGGATGCCTGGAGGTGAGTTTCCAAAGATTAAACCATGATCAATTTAACTCCCGTGCTTTGGCTGTGATTTATTGAGAAGGATAAATGCTTCAATAATAATACTTGCATTTTTAAAGCACTTGTCGTACATTTTGTAATCTTGTTTAATTTCTTTAACCAAATCACGTGTATTTGCCCTGTGCCAGGTGGGTGCTGGGTTTGCAGTACGGAGGCAGCAGAAACCTGATGGCTGCATTTAAGAGAGCGATTGAGTGTGAGGTGCCTGAAGTGCAGGAGCCTTGCGGAGTTTACCTCTTCACTAGCGGGCTACCCGACCAGGAAAAGGTGGGGAATTCAACCTCAGAGGAGAGGGCTTTCTGTTTTATCCGGGCTGTGGTCTGCATGTTAAATCAAGGGATTTTACTGAGCATTTTGATCACTGTCAAGTATGCATAGGTGGATAAATCCTGGTTTGCAATATTTGGGTCAGCCGGGGTTGGTGTCAGTGTGTAGGGGTGTCACTGGGCTGTGGGGCTGTATCACTGTCTCTGATATTCTAGTGAGGTGTTTGGTTCTCTTCAACCGTGCCTTCAGCTCCCCTCTCGACTCTCTACCCCCTCCTCGCTCCCTCGCTTCCCTCACCCTGACCATTTCCCCCCCTGCTCAGGTCCCGACCCAACTGTCCAGCGCCTTGGGATGTCCTCCCGACGTGAAAGGCGCTCTATAAATGCAATCTTGTTGTTGTTGTTGTTTTGTGCTCTGAAGGTTCACTTCCTGTCTCTGTGCAGGATGTGCTCGGAGCCTATGTGGCCGAGGTGACTAGTGGACACGATCTGCCACTTCACGTCTGCCTTTTCCAGATCGGAGACTTTGGGCTGGACAGTCCGGTTCCCGTGCGGTACGCTTCCCCGAGCGAGACAGCAAGTGAGCTGCGGAGCCTGGCTCGCTGGGGCAGGGGCCGATTTCACTGGTGCCAAGACACAGGTGGGTGAGAGCGGACCGCGGTGAGGGCAGTGGGGACTGATCGTGGCTGGGCAGCCGCATGAGGTGGGAATGTGAGGGGAAAGCAGTGAAGTGTAAATATCAAGATCTGTCTTTTACCAGTTCACTGCTCGAACCTGAGTTTGTTTCCAACGCCCACAAAATATACAGTCTATTTACAGTCACTTTACTGCATAGTGAAGCGCTTTGAGACGTCTCGAAGACGTGATAAGGCGTTATATCAAATGCAAGGATTATTATTATTTATTATTAAGTACAAAGAGGCTTCCAACAAGGGATCGGTGTCTGACCATTGCCCAAGGTACTTACAAATCAATATCTACATTACAATGTGGCATTTTACTTGGTCATGTTTGGGGATTTATGCAGAGCTTTTTCCACTGGAGATTAAGGATGGGTGGAATGGTTAATGGATTAAATGGACCCCAATGGACTTTCCCTGTCCCGTCCTCTTGTAATAACATAAGACTTTGAAATGAAACTTCAATAATTCCTTTCCATGTCTCTGGATGTTTCTCTTTTCTCCCTCTTTAGAGATTGTAGAAAGCGATGACATTAATGCTATCTTGGCAGAAATAGAAAAAGCTGCCAACTATTCATGCAAGGTGAGTTGCTTATCCAATGCAAGGATTGTTATTATTATTGATGATGTGAATCCTGTCAAATAGAAAATAGAATTGAACCCCTTCAGGAGAGGCGAAAATCGGGAACTGGGAAGTAATTCATGTAGAGATTTTTTTTTAAATGAATCTTATTTCTTTGTGCAGTGCACAATGCTGGTGGAATCCTTAAAGGGACGTTCCAGGAGGCACGCTGACGGACTGCTCCAATGGGGGGATGAGGAAAAGACGTTGGTCAGGGAGAGGCAACGTCCCCTCAAACTGCCGGGACCCAAACCCACAGCACTAACGCTCGCCAGGATGGTTGGACATTTTTAAAATAACTTGTCACTCTGGGGAGCGCAGCATTATTGGAGCTGTCAGGTTGTCGATAAGTCATGAAAACTGAGGCTCCGTCTTCCTGTTCTTCAGGTGGACATCGAAGATCTCATGATCCTACTTGAAAAGGGAAGGGAATTTCTTCTGGTGTCCAGGCCAACAATTAGTTTATTCACCTCATAGCTGCTTATGTGACCTTGTTATGCCCTGGACCTAGTGTCCCTAGCTTACCCCAACCTCCACTCATGTTTTAAGAAATGACCCAGGCTTCGGAAGCTCTCAATAAGGGCACATCCAAAGCACCAGCACCGTTTGACTTCCTTGGCTCTCACGCTGTAGGTCCCATGAATTCACAGCCCAAGAAGACATGAGAACTTTGTCTCACCTAATAACATAACGTAAGGTTGTAGGTTTAAGCCCTATGTTGGATTTTGGCTCAATGCCCAGGCTAATACCTCAGTGCAGTACTGGAGGAGCACTGCATTGTCAGTGTTGATGCTGCGCTTTGGGTGAGATTTTAAACCAAGGTCCTGTCTGCCGGATCAAGTTGGCATTGACATTAATGAAAAATAGAAGGGATTTTTTCCCGGTGTCCTGGCCAACAATTCTCCAGATAAAGTTGGTCATTCCGCTTAAGTTCGTTTGAAAATACAGTCAATACACTTTACAGCAATTACTCTTGAAGCCCTTTGAGATATTTTGAAGTTTAACAGCTATATCAAATGTGAAGATTATTATTGTATTAAACAAAGTACACTGAAATCTGATGAAACCTTTCTGTGATTGTTAGCAAGCCAGAGATGAGAGCGGTGAGGACACCAAGCCGGCACTAAAAGCTCTCACCTGGCGACCAAACAGCAGCAAAGCAGTCATTCCTGCAGGTGGGTACTACAGACACATGCACTTCTATAGCACCTTTCACACCTTCACAAAGAACAAGGGGTGGTCACCCAGCTGGGAGGAATGGAGGGGGAATTTGAGTGCGTTGACCAAAAGCCCGGTTAAAGAGAGAGCTTTTTAAGTGGATTTGGAAGGTAGAAAGCATAATGATTCTAGGAGAATTCCAGAGAGCGGTGGCATGGTGCTTTGATGCTCAGCCACCATTAGCAAAAGGGAGGAAGTGAGGAATGAATGGTTGTCCATAGTTGAGGAGTGGAGGGTATAGAGGTGAGGTGGCAAGGCTATACAGAATATAACAATACAGGAGTGAGGGCTGGTGCGTTTACTTGATGACCATCCAATACAATCTGCCCCACACTCAGCAGCTCTCCTCCCTATTGACTCCCTGAGTTGCAATCGGCCTTTATCAAACCCACAAAACCCTACATTTGTGGTGTCAGTCTGTTACTTTTCGTCTTTGTGTGAATGTGCTTTGTTTAAAATTTGGTCACTCAATCCATGACTGTTTGTGGGCAATTTGCTGTGCACAATCTGACCCTGCTGTGTACAATTGGCTGCCATGTTTCACCCACAAAATACATAGTAAATTCACTTTACAGTACATTCTGTAAAGTGCCTTGAGATGTCTCAATGAAGTGATAAAGGGCTATATCAAATGCAAGGATTATTATTATTATTTTTCCACACTGTACTTCTTTTTCCAGCTCGTCCCCACAAGAACTGGCTTCACGTCTCCGAAGCAAAGCCCAAGAAAGTGCCAAAGGTTTCAAAGTCAGTGTTCTATGCAGATGTTGGGAATAAAATAGGTATGTGACTTTGCAGGGCAGAGAGGAGCGGTTACAGGGTGAATGACTGCAGGGTACAGGAGATTGAGTACCAAGGTGTGGCCAGCTGTGGAATTAATCACTCTTTTGAAGCCTGACAAAATGTGTGGCCAGAAAAGACCAACTTACTCGGTTTAGCCAAAATATAAGGTTGGGAACCTGAGAACAAAGGAACCAAAGACACTTGTATTTTATGTTCAACAGCTCATTTACTTACGAACGCAAAAAGGCATATAATTTTGCATTGATTCAATAAATATGGTTACAATAGGCAATATTGTGCTGCTATGTTCCCGTACAGCATGTTACTGTAGTGACAATATCAAAGGTCATAGACAGTAGACAAATGTCTCTGGTTTCTCAGGTTTGGAAACGTTGCTATCAGCAGGCATTGAATCTCTTGCGGTTGTGTTACCGCTATGTACTTGTAATGTCCCAAGTCTGTTTTTCTCCTTTCGATGTTGTTAAAATTGCTGGATCAGGATGATCCATGCAGGTCCACACATCCTCACCCACCTGATAGTTCTCTAATCCCTGTTAACCCTCCAAGCCAAAGCCCTATTGGATAGGGTGGTCATAAGCAAGCAGTGGGGAAGCTTGCCAGCCAGCAATATCAATGGCAAGCTATGTGGTTTTAACTGGTTAGACTCCAGAAGTTACCCCAATGCAGAATGCATCCCTCCAAGGAGAGAGAGCGCATTCCATTCCGATAATCTATTTCTGGAATTTCCATGTGTAGGTGAGATACATGGAATTCTCAGTTTGGTTTGGATACTCTTAAGCTGACACTCCAGCTGACCACAAAAAAGAATGATTTAATGATTAAACACAAAAGAGGGCCAGTCCATTAATATTTAACACAAGCTACAGCTGTGATATAAGTTCATTTCTTTCTTCTGAACCAATTTAAATCTTCAAGGTCTTCAGCATTCCGACATTTTCTCATAAAATTTTATCTGGAGTTAGACCAGCCAATCCATACCATAACATGTGATTAGTTTAGATAGGAATTGTGCATCGGAGCTCAATTTAATTTGGCTTGTAGTTCTGCAAGTCGTTTCAAGTAACTGACTAACTAGTACAAGCAACTTTCACCCAATCCAAACAACATTTATAATCAAGATTGTCCTTTCGACAGCTCAGCTTGACATTAGCCAACAAACATAAGCAATACCTAAATTAACTAAAACAACATTTTAAACAGTGCTATTCACAAGAAGAGAGCAGACTGTGGGGAACTTTTGAGACAATTCACTTTACAGTCTTTTCTGTGAAGCGCTTTGAGACGTCTGATAAGGCGCTATGTCAAATACAAGGATTATTTGTTACCAAATCTGCAGAGTTAGCAGATTACAGCCATGACAGAAGAGTCTCTGGAGATGGCGTCAGCTATCTTGAGGTGGTGAGGAGAGAGGAATGAATCAGATCAGGTTCTCACTGGTCTTTATCATCGTCAGCCACTCTCTTGCTTAGAAGGTACAGGGGTGTGGACATTGGGTGTGGACAGTTGGGTCAGGACCCGAGCAGTGGGGGGGAGAAATGGTCAGGGTGAGGGGAGGGAAGGGAGGGAGCGAGGAGGGGGTAGAGAGTCGAGAGGGGAGCTGAAGGCACAGTCAAAGAGAACCCCAAGTATTGAATAAACCCCAAGTACCGAAGGGTTTGAAATTCCCTCTGGGGAATAAGGTCCGCCTGCTAACTGTGTTGTTTGATTTCCAGATGTTGTATTTTGAATTTTGTATTTTGGTTTCCAGGTATTGTGTTCCAAAACTACCCAAAGATGAAGAGTGTGAGGAAGAAGATTCCTTTTGTGTCTCTGCCCAAAGAAGAAGACGTTTGTTCAACCAAAGAGGTACGCAGTCATCCAGCAGTGCTCCGAGCACCAGCTTCCCCAACATCATTGCCCTCTTTGTGAGTAGCTGAGCTATGCGGACCAGAAAGGTTCTGCGTTGGGTTGCTCATTCCCAGTAGAGCTACAGTTGGCCTAGATATGGGGAAGGAACATTCAGGCTCCCTCCCGCTCCTGGTTACTATGCAGAAAGCCCTTGCTGGAGAGTGCATGTATGTAGACATCAGGTGAACACAGAATCAGGCTTCGCAGTGATACCTCTTTCCCTGCAATCGGATAACCTACTATCTAGGTTAATCATGCTAGTCCCATGTCGGGACTTAAACTCAAGTGGTGTAAACTGACGCTCCAGTGCAGTGCTGGGGGTATGTCCCATTGTCACAGGTGCTGTCCTTCTGATGAAACATTTCACCGAGGTCCCGTCTGCCTGTTTGGGTGGACGTTAAAGATCCCATAGCACTATTCGAATAGAGAAGGGAGTTTCTCCCAGTGCCCTGGACAACAATTCCCCAAATTGGTCATCCGTTTCATGGCTGTTTGTGGGACATTGCTGTGCGCAATTGGCTGCCAGGCTCGCCTATAAATACACAGTCACTCCATTTAAAAGTAAATCCTGTGAAGCACTTTGAGACAATGTGATAACGTGCAACACCAAACGCAAGGGTTATTATTCTAAAGGCTATGTGGATGATTTGTCAATGGATGGCCGACATCCATGGAACTGTCTCCCAGCGTAATCCCAGCCATCATTAGTTAGTTGCTGTTTGATTGTGTAACGCTGTGTTCGTCCTTGTTGTGTGAAGTGGTTACAGAAGTACGGTGTTCGGAAACTGAAGCTGGATCTGCACAAGTTGCTTTCTGGCCCAGATTGTGTGCACCAGAAGAAACGAGTGCCCAATCTGCACAAACACGTGTCGGCCAAGTACTGCACAGTCTTCCCCAGCGTGGAAGTCAATGTAAGTTCCCCCGACGTGAAGTTGTGTGCTGTAACCTGCATTGACACCTCTACTCTAGAACTCCCTCCATCAATCCCTCCGCCTGACCCCCTCCTCCCCACTTTCAAATCCCGCCTAAAGACCTTCCTTTTTGGTCGTGTTTACAGTCTCACCTTCCTCCTCCCTCTACCCCTGGCTCGGGGTCAGACCACTATCAAGGTCTCCGGGACACTACCCCGGATGAAGGGCGCTATATAAATGCAATTTGTTGTTGTTGACACTCTGCTCCGTGGTGCAGCTCACAACAAGGTGGTGTAAATGTTTGGCGATCACATCACTCCCACCCTCGCTCGCCTCCATTGGCTCTCCATCCCCCGGAGGATCGAATTCAAGATCCTCATCCTCACCTACAAGGTCATTTACGGCCTTGCTCCCTCCTACCTCTCTGACCTACTATCCCCCTACATACCTGCCCATACCCTCCATTCCTCTGGCTCCAGTAGGCTCCACATCCCCTGCCCTAACTGCCCTACCATCGGTGGCCGGACCTTCAGCTTCTCAGCCCCGAGGCTCTGGAACTCCATCCCCCAGTGCCTTCGCCTTCGCTTCCTCCCTTTCCTCCTTCAAGGCCGGTCTCAAGACCTTTCTCTTTGACTGTGCCTTCACCTCCCCTCTCGACTCTCTACCCCCTCCTCGCTCCCTCCCTTCCCTCCCCTCACCCTGACCATTTCCCCCCAATGCTCGGTTCCTGACTCAACTGTCCAGTGCCTTGGGACGTCCTCCCGACGTGAAAGGCGCTCTATAAATGCAATCTTGTTGTTGTTGTTGTTGGTCTTAGCACCCAAACTCAGTCTGACTTCTTCGCCTACACCAGAGGTTCGTTCAGAACGGAATTGGATGTTCTGACGTAAGAGTCCTCAAGAAGAACTATTGAAAAACGTTTTTCAAATTAAAACTGAATGAAATTTTTTTCCCAAAATCTGGGTGATCCTGAATTTTAAGACAGTGGTATTAAAACTAAGACAAGGCAGAACTTCTGAGCTTTGATCTCTAATCCGGTGTATTCAGTGGAATATGTCAAGGCGCTTGGACATTGGATGACTTGACGGTGTCGTCTCTTGCTCTTCTCTTTCTCACCCAGCGCAGACTTATCACGTGAAAAGAGGGAGGGAGCAGCCAATAAACCAGACCATTGATATTCTTGAATTAGAGGAGAAAACAGTTAGCAGAGTAACTAGTGGAAGAAAACTTAAGTGAACATTGAGTAATCTCAATGTTTGAGTGAAGGTTTTCAAGCCCTTTATTACTGTCTAATGATCTGAATGTAATGAACTCCCTGGATTGACTGCTGGAGGTCAATGGTTTGTGTTTTCAGGGTTTGGTTCGGCATCTCCAGCTGCAGCCACACGAGCTGGAGATGTACATCGAGCAAGTAGAGCGCGTGCTTCGCAGATACGTGCAGCGCATGCAGTGGCTACTGTCAGGTAGGGAACATAAGAACAACAACAGCTTGCATTTATACAGTGCTGTTCATGCGGGGTAGGGTCCTGGAGCGCTTGAGAACATAGGAATATAAGCACAGGAATAAGCCATTCGTCCTCTCGAGCCTGCTCTGCCATTCTATTAGATTATGGCTGATCTGTACCTCAACTCTTAATTCCTTGCCTTTGCTCCATATCCTTTGATACCGTCATAGGAGTTGCGCGTAGCCTCTGTCACAAGCAGTCCAGGCTCCCTGTTTTCACAAAGACATTGAAGCATTGGCAAGGGTTCAGAGCAGAGCTAAGTGGCCCAAAATTATGAGGAGAGATTCACAGAGCTGAACCTGAACTTATTAGAGGAAAGGTTAATGGAGACATGATCCAGGTCTTTACAGTGATGCGAGGTGTAGATAATGTAAGTCTGATTATACCATGAGACCAGAACTACAGGGCATAGGTTTAAAGACTTCCCCCTGATGTGAAAGGCGCTATATAATAAATAATAATAATAATCCTTGCATTTGATATAGCGCTTTTCACTTCGGGAGGACATCCCATAGCACTTCACAGAACACACTGTAAAGTGAATTGACTGTATTTTTTGTGGGCGAACGTGGCAGCCAATTGTGCACAGCAATGTCCCACCAACAGTCGTAGATTGAAAATGACCAATTTATTATTGTTTTGGGTTTTGGAGGGATTATTATTAGGCTCTGTGTGGAGTAAGGAAACTTGCCCAAGGTTTCGCCCTCTGCCTGGAATTGAACTCAGTCTCTCACTTGCAAAGCGATTGCTCTAACCACTGAGCTGCAGGACTCCAATCAAATGCAAGGGCTATTATTATTTTTATTATTTAAGGAAACCCCTGATCTTGCTTGTTAATTTTGAACCTCAGTCTCCAGTTTGGTGACCACAGCCCAGCCAGGTATCTCTGCATTATCTCTGCATTATGTGTAGAAATAATTCAAGTAATTCGCCTTGAATCTCTACACCAGATGACGAATGGATTTCAATGTAACTGGGAATTCTGTCAGTCTGGGCTCTGTGACTGGGTACTAATTTGAAGGTAAGTTATGAAAACTACTTTTTGTGCTTGTGTAGGAAGCAGGCGGTTCTTTGGAACAATCCTGGAGAAGAAGATTTGTCTCCTGCTGGACACCTCTGGCTCTATGGATCCTTTCCTGGAAGAGCTGAAGAAGGAGCTGACCTCATTGATCTGGGAGCAGCTCAGGAAATACAGCGTAAGGTGAGCTGGAGAGAGGGGATCTATCAGGTATTTTCAAGGCCTTTGCAAGCCTGGTGTGGAATCGCTGGCAGAACAACCAACATGATTTAAAGGGATGTTAAGAACATGTTAAAATGTTATAATAATCAGAGTACCATGGAAACAGGAGGCCAGTTCGGAACATTAGTCAAAATAGGAACATGATGGAGACCATTATTTCTACGTAAAGCTTTTGTGTTAAACACTAGTTTATTGTCATTTGCAGATCATTCTTCGGATGAGACATTAAACCAAGGTCCCGTCTGCCTGGTCAGGAGGAGGTTAAAGATCCCACGGCACTATTCGAAAAGAGAAGGGAGTTTATCCCAGTGTCCGGGGTTCATAGAATCATAGAATTATACAGCACAGAAGGAGGCTATTCAGCTCATCATATCTGTGCCAGCTCTTTGAAAAGAGCTACCCAAATAAATCCTACTCCCCGCTCTCTCCCCAGCTCCCCAGCAATCTCCCAAATAAAATTGGTCATTCACTTCTTGACTGTTTGTGGGACATTCCTGTGTGCAATTGGCTGCCGCATTTTGCTTACAAAATACACAGTCACTCCACTTTACAGTATATCCTGTGAAACACTTTGAGACGTCTCGAAGACATGATAAGACGCTGTATCAAATGCAAGGATTATTATTATTATCATCACCATCACCCACTTTTTGATTGAATCAGTAATTTCGGTCTCTTTGGCTTTGGGACTCAGGTGGATGTGAAGAGGGCTTCCTCCCGCCACTTTAGGTTCAGTTTGATGATGTTGCATTTTCCTTCCTCTAGCTTTAACTTGCTGTGCTTCTCTGGGTCCGTGGAGGCTTGGCAGGATGGCTTGGTGGAAGCTACAGACGAAACGTGCCAGGATGCAGTCCAGTGGGTAGCAAAGGTCATCGCCCAGGGCACCACCTGCACCCTCCAGGCTCTGAAGGTCAGGTTTGCATTCCCAAAGGTTACAGTGAAGCACCTCATGACCTTTTGCTGTGATTAGGTGCTATAAAAATGCATGCTCCTTCCTCCCTCCCCACCTTGGTGTGCTTTGCCAGTTGGGAAACTCAGTAATTTTTTGACGTCTGTCACTATATCCTGCAGTGTAGTAGTTACTGCACTCGCCTCGCAAGGGAGAGGACCTGTGTTTGATTCCCGGGGGGAGGGGGGCGAAAGCTTTAGCAAGTTTGCTTACTCTACACGGCTCTGTTTACCTAGTGGTAAGTAGCAACCGGTTGTTAGTCAATTGATGGATAATAATCCCTCAAAAAAATGTGGTCACTCAATCCACGACTTTTTGTGGAACATTGCTGTGCACAATTGGCTGCCGTGTTTTCCCCATAAAATACACAGTACATTTTGAATCAGAAACTTCTATACACACACGTAACTCTCAGTACTTTGGTTTGGAGACTGTTAATCATGGCGATGGATTTCTGCTTATGTCAGACACCAGGGCACTCCCCATCCACCCCCCACCCCCATAACTGTGTAAAGTATTGGATCCCATCCCTGCAATTTCACTGTTCACGTTTCTCATAAGCAGAAGGCTTTTCAGTATCCAGATGTGCAGGGTATATACTTGTTGACCGATGGGAAACCAGACACCAGCTGTAGTTTGATCTTAAAGGAAATGCAACAAATGAAGAGGAAAGTAACCAGAATTCACACCATTTCTTTCAACTGTTTGGACAGGTACGTCACAGGTCAAAATTTGAATTCTCATACCTTGAATCATAGATTCTTTTTGCCTGACTGTGAGAATGGCCACTTCCTCTCTTCCCCCCGGTTCAGCGTCAGACTCCACCCCGGTCACGAGCTCTGAGAGACAGCCCCGCATGAAAGGCGCTATATAAATGCAAGTGCCCTGGTGTTTTGCTCTGTATATTTGTATTGGAGGCTGAGATTGCTGCCTTGAAGTCTCCCCCAGTATCTCTTGGTTTCCAGTGTTGGATTGGAAGAGCCTGATGTTCTAGCTTTCCTTGCCAACAGTGCAGCAAATGATTTCCTGAAGAAGCTCGCGGCTCACATGGGAGGTCGCTACCACCGTTGCCATGGAGCAACGGATGGTCACTTGGTCGCCCACAAAATGCTGACCGAAGGTTTTTCAGATGAAGATGTAAGTTGTTCACTTTTTCCCAACCAAATTCTATTAAACTACTTGTTCTAATGTCCTAAAATGTGACTGACGTTCATTTGAATGTTACCAGAGGTGAGGGTTTTCACCTGTGCAAAGAGTTTAGAAGTTGGGGCTTTTTCCACAAAGAGCTGAGAAGGTTCAGGGGTGACCTGATAGAGGTCTTCGAGATTTTGAAGGGATATTGTGAGATAAATAGTAATAGATTATTTCCACTGGTTAGTGAGTCATGAATGGAGTTTAAGGTATGACGAAAGGGATTAAAAGGGAGGTTAGAAAAAACGTCTTCATACAGATGACGGTTGAATGAGAAATTCTCTGCCTCAAACCATGGCTTGAGCAATCTGTCAGTTCTTTTGAAAAGAAATTAGATTTGAGTATCAATATTTGATAAAGGAATATTAAAGAAGCAAGCAGGGGAGTGGGATTAGATTGCCTAATGGAGAAAATGCCAGGGGAGATTTGGTGAGTCAGATGACCTGCGTCTGTGCTGTAACATTCTACGAATAAATATCTGATATATTTATATCATATTTATATTTTTGCAAGTGATGGAGTTAATAAATCTCTTAGTTAATAAATTTCTCTTCAACCGTGCCTTCACCTCCCCTCTCGACTCTCTACCTCCTCCTCGCTCCCTCCCTTCCCTCCCTTCACCCTGACCATTCCCCCCCTGCTCGGGTCTCGACCCAACTGTCCAGCACCTTGGGACGTCCTCCCGACGTGAAAGGCGCTCTATAAATGCAATCTTGTTGTTGTCGTTGTTGCAAATATTCATTTCTAATTTGCTCCGCCTGTTTCTGGATGAGGTGATAATATGATATTGTTTTGCAAAACTTCAATATTTTCCATTTCAAGAATCTGAGTCTCCCTGTGTTTGAGGGTGATGATTTGAAGATTCTCTCAGGAGAAATAAACAAAGCCAGGCGGTTCCTGACACAAGCCCGATCCTTCAGGTATGTCGCACTTTGCAATGTTCATTTGCCAGTTCAACAGTGCAAATACCAAACCCATGCCATTGAAGGTCAGAGAAGGAAATTCAGCACGGAGGCTGTTATGTGGTTGCATGCCATTGATGTCGCCCATTTGATGCTGCTCTTTATACAGCGTTATTCTAGGCTGCGGTCAACATCCTGTATTTCATTCCCAACAGAGCTTTACTTTTGGAAAAGCAAATGAAACCCCACCAAATGGGAACTGGAGTTTGGGGTAAAGTGCAGGCTGGTAAGAATATAACATTTGAGTAGCTTGTGTCAATTTTTTTTATATAAGTGGGTCGTTTCACAACTGATATCACATCAGATACACCTGATGTGCCAGTGGTGAATCCTTGGCACCATTCCCAATGAGGACTTCCATGAAGCTGGCTCAACTGCATTGGATTTATGAACCTCCGGACCGAGGCTTTCCATCTCCTGACTTTCCGACTCTATCCAGCCAGATGTTGGCCACACAGGGACCTCCAACAGGGTGACACAGACCAACGCTGCAATCTTCTGGCTATAACTCCGTAATTCAGCATTGCACCTGTAATGAGTCCACAATAAAAATGCTTGCATTTACTATCGTAATACATTTGATGTGACGCCTCATCAAATGCACATTTTATATAGGACTGCTGTGTTCTGTAATTATTTGCTAAACTTGCTTACAAACCTCTGGAACTCCCTCCCTCGTCGACCACAAAGAACTAATGGAGAAAATCTTTACTTGTCATTAAATCATTTTTCTAAACCATGGGTTAGCAATAAAGGCTTATTGTTATTTTGGACTGAATTCTATACTTCTTAAGCTGCAGTGTTGGGAAATAGAAAACTCCCATTTCTGCACTCTGCCCCAGTATTGGCATAGGACGATTAGAGGCATAGTAAAGGTCCTTCCACTCTATCACAATCTAGAAGAATACCCCTCTCTTGTAAGCAGAAAATATTGTTTTCCATACAAGCGATGTTGAATTTAGAATTATGAATTTTGAGTTGAATTTATGCTGTGTTTTTGCCTATCAACCCGTGCAAGTTTGCCTTTGCTAAGCACATTGTGCAGAGGCATCTCACAAATAGCAAGCGCACAATTTCTTTAATAATAATCCTTGCATTTGACTTTATCACGTCGTTGCGACGTCTCAAAGCACTTCACAGAATATATTGTAAAGTGAATTGGCTGTATGTTTTGTGGGTAAAACGTGGCAGTCAATTGCACAGCAGCGTCCCACAAACAACAACAACTTGCACTTATACAGCGCCCTCCACGCAAGGTAGCGTCTCAGAGCGCTTAACAATGGCAGAGCATTTAACAATGGCGGAGCACTTAACAGTGGTTGCTGGGGCTGTTTCGAGGTTGCTGGAGCTGGTTTGGGGGTCGCTGGGCTTGATTCGGGTTTGCTGGGGCTGATTCGGGGTTGCTGGGGCTGGTTCGGGGTTGTTGGAGCTGGTTCGGGGTTGCTGGGGCTGGTTCGGGTTTGCTGGGGCTGGTTCGGGTTTGCTTGGGCTGGTTTGGGTTTGCTGGGGCTGGTTCGGTGTTGCTGGGGCTGATTCGGGTTTGCTGGGGCTGATTCGGGTTTGCTGGGGCTGATTTGGGTTTGCTGGAGCTGGTTTGGGTTTCCTGGGGCTGGTTCGGGTTTGCTGGGGCTGATTCGGGTTTGCTGGGGCTGGTTCGGGTTTGCTGGGGCTGATTCGGGTTTGCTGGGGCTGGTTCGGTGTAGCTGGGGCTGGTTCGGTGTTGCTGGGGCTGGTTCGGTGTTGCTGGGCTTGATTCGGGTTTGCTGGGGCTGATTCGGGTTTGCTGGGGCTGGTTCGGGTTTGCTGGGGCTGATTCGGGTTTGCTGGGGCTGGTTCGGTGTTGCTGGGGCTGATTCGGGTTTGCTGGGGCTGATTCGGGTTTGCTGGGGCTGATTCGGGTTTGCTGGGGCTGGTTCGGTGTTGCTGGGGCTTGTTCGGTGTTGCTGGGGCTGGTTTGGGTTTGCTGGGGCTGGTTCGGGTTTGCTGGGGCTGGTTCGGGTTTGCTGGGGCTGGTTCGGGTTTGCTGGGGCTGGTTCGGGTTTGCTGGGGCTGGTTCGGGTTTGCTGGGGCTGATTCGGGTTTGCTGGGGCTGGTTTGGGTTTGCTGGGGCTGGTTCGGGTTTGCTGGGGCTGGTTCGGGTTTGCTGGGGCTGGTTCGGGTTTGCTGGGGCTGGTTCGGGGTTGCTGAGCCATATCGTGGTTTGCACGCTTGCTTTGCAAACAAGAGGACCCAAGTTTGGCAGGTTTCCTCAGTCCACATGCCTCTGTTTACCTCGCAGTAAATAAGAACCTGTTTGTTAGTCGATTGGCAGATTGCTTTCTGGGGTTAATAATCCCTCCTCAATAAAATGTAGTCTCTCAATCCACGACTGTTTGTGGGACGCTGCTGTGTGCCATTGGCTGCCACTTTTCGCCCACAAAATACACAGCAAGTTCACTTTTCAATATATTCTGTGAAACGCTTTGAGACGTCTCAACAACCTGATAAGGCGCTATATCAAATGTAAGGATTATTATTATTGTGTAGTGTTTTCAATGCAAAATGAGAAACGCCTTAATATCGAGCTCTGTGGCATAATGCCTTTAAAAAGTTACTATAATAATTCAAAGAATATGGATGTTTGGATGAATTATCCCTATATCCATTATTTGGTAGTATTTCCATTTGGTGCTTCTGATTCATTGCATATAAATAAAGTGGTCTCAGTACCTATACTTATTAATGGCAGAGAAAAACAGGTTGGAAGCTCAATTGCAAGTGCAATTACCGTATGTACAGAACACGGTGAATTATCACCTCCTCATGACGGTGCTACAGAGAGCGATGAGTGCTGTTTGTAGGTGAGCTATGGTAGTGAGTGAGTTGAACAGGAGTCTCCCAGCTCCACACACACACACTCACACACACGATCATTAACAAGTGGTTGTGGTTCCCAGCTCATAGCACCGCTTTTACTCAGATTCTTCCAGCTTCATCCGCAAGCTCCTCGGATTCCAGGTGCCAAACGGGTAAGCTTTTAGCACCTCTCTTTAGGAAGAAACCCTCGAGTCGTGCGTAAATATCACTGTTGTATTTGTATTTCGCTTTATATTTTGCATTGCTTGAAATTGACATTGTAACTGACCGCTCTCTTGTGCAGTGTGCTGTGATGTTGCGTTACCTTTGTAGGTACAAGCCCCAACCCCCTTGCAATCAAACCCTGCCTGCCTACCTGACCCAATGCAAATAAATGTTTAGTCCCTTGCTGGATCTTGCGCACCTGTCAGTTGGTAGAACTGGGTATGAATGCAGACTGACTGGGACTTTGAGAGTGAAAATGCAGGTTAATTGCTGCCAGCGTATTTCTTCTATTGAACATACGAAGGGCAGTCACTGACAGCAGGGCTGTAGCTGGGGATGTGGGGGGAGAGACAGACAGACAGAGAGGGAGAGAGAAGCTGCATGTGCCCAGATAAGCACATCTTCGACCCACACCGGACAAGTCAACTTCATTTGTATCAACCCCTCCCCACTGCCACGGTGGATTAAGGCTTCACCCAAGAGCCTGTGTAATAATAATAATGATTCTTGTGTTTGATATAGCGCCTTGGGACGTCTCAAAGCGCTTCACAGAATATACTGTAAAGTGATTTGACTGTGTATTTTGTGGGTGAAGTGGAGTCACCAAAGCATGGAATACATCTTCAGTTCATGCAAAGTTAGTCCAGCGAATAGTTTTTAAAAAAAACAATCAGCAAAAAAAAACATAAGACCGGAATTTAAATTGTCTATTTTTTAAAACACTTGAGATGTGTTTTACATGAAAGGTGCGACATTGAACGAAGGAGACACAGTTATAGCACCAGGGGGAAACCACTCAGCCCGCCATTAAGTGCTCCGAGACGTTGTCCAGCGTGAGGGGCGCTCTACAAATGCAAGTTGTTGTTGTATCATGCGTGTGCAGGTGCCAGCTCCCCACTAGCGCACAGACATTCCCATTCCCTTACTCTTTCACTCTACACTCTAATATGATTCTTACTGAAATATTTGACCAATTCTTTTCAAATGTTGCTACAGACTCGGATTCGGCAGCTGTCGTTGGTAACGTTTTAATGACCCTCTGGGTTAACAAGCATTTTTCTAACCGCTGTATTGCGTGTTGTGGACGATGGAGTTAATGACCTTGTGCTAAGTTTCAGGTCCCTTCTCTGCAGCCTCACTTGGCGAGTTTTATATTGAAGGGAGCCAGACAGCACTGACATGGAGCTATGCAGGGTGATTCCAAATGGGAATCTCTGTGGCAACAACTCCCATCGCAGATCAAACGGAGAGGTTCTGCACCAGCATAAGTCATCCACCTGCACTCGGAATGGATACCTGAGGAAAGTGAATGGAAAGAATGCAATGATAGCCCTGGTGACAGGAGGTGGAGGATACTTTGGGTTCAGGTTGGGCTGCGCTCTTGTCCGCTCTGGTGTGTCCGTCATCTTAATGGACATAAACAAACCGAGGTGGTTTATCCCCAAAGGAGCTGTCTTTCTCCAGGTATGTTGATTTCTTCACCTGCCAGTGTAACCTTCATTCAATGCACCTCATTTCCTTTGCACGTAAATAGGCACTCAAGTTCATTGTTTGGTAGTTTGTCCATAGGAGCAACCTGCTCCCCTCCCCACCCGCCCTACCCAATTGTTCAGTGGGTTTATCCATTGACCCCCAACAGGTATGTCCAACTTGGGGCATTGCATAGTGATCAACCGAAAGACACAGAAGCCAATTGTAACACCTCCACTGCTGCCCCAGTTGAGATCAGCTTATGGGGCACAGACCAGGGATGAAACATTGAACCTTTCTGTTATATAGGCTCAGAATCCCTAGAACATACACAGCACCATTCTCAGATCCCAGTTTCTGTTACCATCACTCCTGGAATTAAACAACAGGGGAATTAAACAATAGAACAATAGAAACTGCAGCACAGAAAGAGGTTACTTGGTCCATGAAGCTCAATTTGTTAACATGAGCCCCATTGTTACTGACTTGATCCGTGGAATAAATTGCATCAAGTGCAACAAACACATGTGCATACGTTATGTATCAGGAGGTACAGTACCCGGTTAGCCTCCTGGTCAGGAAATGAAGAGAGAGGCAGTCGGAGGGTTTGATGTAAAAAAGAAATATTGAGGCATCTCACTAAACTATCAGTCCAGTGCACAGTCTATCAGAAGAAGTTGCATTAGAACAAACAACCTCTCATTTGTTCCGGCACATTGACACTCTGTTTGCTGGAAAGACAGGCAAATGAATGTCCAAGGTCCATATAATGCAGAAATGCAGACACCTCCAAGACTGAAAAGAATAGGAGAGAAAATGAGTAGTCTGGGACGAGGGACTAGGTGATGGCAAGCTTGGGTATTGGAAACCACTGGAGTGTAAGAGGAGCTTAGTGTTAGTATCCAGTGACAGAAATAGAGTATAACCATAGTAATGTTTAGAGGATCCCATGTAACAAGTCTCAGTGAGTCCAGGAAGGCATCCAATGGTCTATGGGAGAAGGGACAATTGCAATATATATATATATAATATACATAAACATACACACTGCCAACTGACATCAATATGAAATGAACCATATATTGGATATCATAGAAAAGAGAAACCAAAGCCACAAACAATCCTGTCGGTTCAACTTTTTTTTGGTCAGCCTGGTATCTAACACATCTCGAAACCTAGCATTGTGCTTAAGAGTATCCAAATCAGACTGAAAGGCGTATATTTCACATATGCATCAAAATTTTCCTTTGTCTTAAATGAAGTGCCCACTTCCCCAGAAAGACACTTCTTGCTCACCTAATCCAGGAAAGTATTAGGGGCAGGTATGGTAAGAACCCTTAAGCCTTGGAGACCCCAGAGACAGGCAGTTCCATTATAATTCAAGGAAGGTTGTTGTGAACAGTCTATATCACTCAATATTGAGACCTAGAGGTGTTGATGTGTTCTCAATCCTGTAAAATACTGTGTTAAACAGGGAGGGTGCTCCTCAATGAGAAAATACCATTGTAGCTACATTTAGAGCAAGTGGACAGAAAATCAAGTAGACAATACAGTACTGATGTTCTCTTCGTATCTTACAGAGCGATATCAGGGATTATGATGCTCTATATAAGGCCTGCGAGGGGGTTGATTGTATTTTCCACGCTGCTTCCTATGGCATGTCGGGCACAGAGCAGGTGAGGATCTATGCTCCTAGCTGACATCTCTCCTCGTGTAAACGAAAGCTTTTCAACGCCATATTTTTTACTTTAATGCCTGATTTCATGTTACAAAACGGCTCAGTGCTGTAATGGGATGACAGGAGGGTTGGTATTTGAGAAGCTTGTGATTTCATCAAGTCCAAGGGCCTCCTTCATCTGAACCTGTGATGTTGTGGTATTTTAGGAGTGAAAACACAAGACATGTTTGTCTCTTTGCTGCAGAGTTAACAAGCTGAAGGCTTTTTAGCCTGTCAAACCAGATCCGGAAGTTTATTAGATCATAGAATATCTTTTAATCCCATTTCCCTGCCTTTTATCCACACCCTTTATGATCCTTGCTTCCTAAGCATCTATCTCCCTTTTAAACATCCCCATTGATTCTGTTTCGATGGCATTCTGAAACATCTGTGTTGGCACTTTCACACTTTCTGTGTGAAGAAATATTTTTTGATTTCAAAGTGCAGAAAACTTTTTTCATTTTGTAAGAAACTCTTGTCAGCCTAATTTGCTTGTGAGGCAAACGGGTGCGATATATACCAGAAATTGCTCGAACCAAATTATAATGGATCGAGGTCTTGTCCACCTGTTCAGGTGTCAAAGATCCCATGGCACTGTCCGAAAAAGAGAAGGGAGTTTCTCTCCCTGGCTAACAATCTCCAAATAAAATTGGTCACTCACTCCTTGCCTGTGCACAACTGGCTGCCGTGTTTCGTGCACAGAATGCATAGTCAATTCACTTTTCAGTACATCCTTTGAAGTGCTTTGAGACGTCACGACAGCGTGATAAGGAGCTAGATCAAATGTAAGGATTATTATTATTAATTCAGATTGAGGAAAGTCCTGCTTGGAGCACACTCTACACAAGCTATATACCATGGTCTGAAACAAATAAAATGCATTAAACTTTAATGTCAACAGGTCTGGAATTACCAATTCTGCAACAAGGGCAACTTTAAAAATGCTTTTAGAAAATAAAGTTTAATAATTTAATGGCTGATGCTGCTGGAGGCAAAGAGTCACTCGAGCACCTGTTGAATTCTGAATTCTTTGCTAATCATAATGAATGAATGAATTCCTGCCTGGGTCAGAGTTTACCAGCGGAAGCTTGGCTGTAATTTTTCTGAATTGTCACATTGTTTTTACTGCGAGGTCTGATATCAGCTAAGTCAGCACTGAACCTGGAATTTCCTGGGCTGTATGGCTCAATTCCAAACTGGACAGTGCCTATATCACTGAGCGAATGTTCGTTTTGCTGAAGACGAACATCGTCTTTAGCAAAACGAAAGCAAAACTTTTCTATTTCTCTCTTTGGATAAGAGAATGATGGGGATGAAAGTGTGTTATTCTCAAACCTGAGGCTGCTGCGTTGATAACAAATGACATCACAAATTCACTATGAGATTTTGTTGTAAAATTCAGGAAGAAAAATCCCAATCTGGAATTTATCTCAGGTTTTACGCACCATTTCTCTGCTGCCATCGCAATCCAGAGGTTGCGATTAGTTACAGTGACACCTGGATTGGGACAATAATAATAATATTAATCCTTGCATTTGTTAAGGCGTCTTATCGCGTCTTCAAGACGTCTCAAAGCGCTTCACAGTATATACTGTAAAGTGCATTGACTGTATACATTTTGTGGGAGAAACGCGGCAGCCAATTGCGCACAACAGTGTCCCACAAACAGTCGTGGATTAATTTTACAATGGCATTTGCAGCACCGATGTAGGGAAAGAGCGATAAATGAGCATGTGCAACTCGCATGAAGCAGTTTGACGCCTGTGTGTAACGGAATTGGATTTACTTTGGTTATCACAAGCAACCATGCATCATCGCCCCACTTTAGAGTCATCAGTGAGAGCAGCAATAACTTGGCAGAAAGTTTCAGCTGCGTTTGATTTGGGAATAGTTCCCAGCACACCCTGCAGTGATCTAACACAGAATAGAAAACCAAAGCTTTTCGCACGAGTCTGCTTGAAACTGCTTTTGTTACATTTATTTCTGGCACTCGGTAAGCGGTAATGAATGTCATTTGTTCATTATCTGAGGGATTACTGTCTTGTAAGCGTCAAGAGGCCTGAGTGATTCGCAGGCTGTAGTCTGAGCTCTGCACAATGGTACAAAATACACTGACCACACTTTATTGTGAATCCTTGTGAAGACGTCTTCCCAAAGCAGGAGGCACTGTATTAAATGCAATGATTTTTGTTATGTATCATTATGGTACTTTATTATTGTATTATTATTGCAATACAATACAAAATTTGTGCATTTCACGTCAGGAAGATGTGCTTCCTATTGCGTGTTGAATGGAGCCATTGCATTTCTTGAATACTGTAGCACTAAATCGCTGCAGGTTTAGTGATCTATATTATTGCTTCTATTTTTATTGGCTCGGGGCTGACGAGCATTAATTTAGCACAAAACTCCGATGTCAAGTGTTAGTCTTGTTTTCAAATTATTAAAGGGATGGTCACTTTCAAGGGATTATTTCTAAGCGGAGCACAAATCGATTTATATCGCCATTTCACTGCCCGGGGGGCTGCCTATCTTTTCTTTACTAGGTAAAGAAAATCATCCTGGTCTCTGTCAAGAAATTGCCACTCTAAACCTATGTCTTCTTGTTCTACTGTCTCGGTGTATTATTGTATTGTATTATTGTCTTGGCTAAACCAGGCGTGGAGTCCTGTCGCTCAGTGGTTAGAGCACTCACTTTGCAAGCGAGAGACCTGAGTTCAATTCCAGGCACAGGGCGAAACCTTGGGCAAGTTTCCTTACTCCACACAGAGCCTAATAATAATCCCTCCAAAACCAAAAACAATAATAAATTGGTCATTTTCAATCTACGACTGTTTGTGGGACATTGCTGTGCACAATTGGCTGCCGCGTTCGCCCACAAATACACAGTCAATTCACTTTACAGTGTGTTCTGTGAAGCGCTTTGGGATGTCCTCCCGACGTGAAAAGCGCTATATCAAATGCAAGGATTAAATTAATTAAGAGTCGGGTAACCACTTTCCCCATCGTGTTGCTTTTAGATATGTTTTGCTGTTTTTATGTGGTTTTTTTTGTATCTAATCTGTGCACTAGCCTATGATAAGGTGTCTGTGTTATTATGTGTCTGCCATAAGAGATCTACCATACTGCATCTCAGTTATAGGCAGCCAAACTCAGCACCTGACCATCAGTTCCAATTTCAACTAATCCTCTTTGTCACTAAATACTTTAATAATTTAATTTTATCATTTCATGGATACCGCCCAATAAAATAACTAACGTCAGAAGATCTGGAAATGCGCTGTTTAAGAGTGTAAGAGCTCTGACCAGAATCTGAAGCAACACGATAGCATTTCTGGATATTGTTTGATACATTCCGTTGCGTAAAGCTATTTTAAACTCATGCTTTGACAGAAAGGGAACTTGAATTTTTACATGAAATCAGAGTGTCTCAAAGATCTTTGCAACGATCGCTTCGAGTGTTTGTCGGTAGACACGCTTCAATTCTGATGGCTTTGCGAAGTTTGGGCAGTGCCTGGGAAATTGTCTATGAAGTGACTGCGCGATGCCATTATTTTCTAGTCATCTGCTTCCATTTATCCAACAGCTTCAAAAGGAGCAAATTGAATCAGTGAACGTTGGTGGAACTAAATGCGTCATTGAGGGTAAGGATGCAACACATTTTTGGCCTGTTGTTGAACACTAAACTGTCATCTTAATACAGTGTGCACTGTGAATTAATTTATTAATTTAATGTTATCATTTCATGGATACCACCCAATAAAATAACTAACAGCAATCCACCTGGGTCAGATTTACTCGATTTGTGTAGAATTTGGCAGGTTAGTGAACTTAGCCTTAACTCTCAAGCCAATTTTCTGTAACCTTCAAAAAACGTTGCCAAATTCCTCATGTTACAGTAAACCTAGTGGAATTTCTAACCTGACTGACCAAGAAGATGCTCCTTTGCACAACTCAACAGTGTGTTTTGATCATTCTGCACACACTCAGAGGAACTCTGAGCCCTTACACAAGACAGAAGAATTTTTCTACTGATGCCTTTTGAGTCGTGTAAAGTTAACACGTGATGCCTTCTTAATTTCCAGTATGTATTCATCGAAATATCCCAAGGTTGATATACACCAGCACTGTGAATGTGGTTTTTGGAGGACAACAGATAGTCCAGGGTGATGAGGAGACTGTGCCATATGTACCACTGGACAAGGTATTTCATACTGATGTCACAGAACCTTATAAAAGCGTTCGATAAGGTTAACATAAATAGGCTGTTGCACTGCTTAGGGCACAAATGAGATGGAGACTAAGGGATCTAAAAGAGAACTTAGGAGGAACAACTTCACACAGAGGGTGGAACTCACTACCTGAAGCTGTGGTTGAATCAGATAGTATAAATGCACTGAAGTAGAAGCTGGACCTTCATAGGAGGGAGAGGGGTATAAAGGGTATAAGAGGGAGTAAGGAATGGGTGAAGACTCGTGTGGAGTATAAACACCCAAACAGACGTATTGGGCCAAGAGACCTGTTTCCGTCCTGTACATTCTTTGTAAACTCTGGGGTGGTACTACAATTGACCTCCGTGTGACTAGGCTAAGTGTGGGGCAAAGCCTGATCGCTCTATTGGAAAGAGCTTGTGTATTGACATGAGGTGAGGATGGGACAGGTTCACATTTGCCAGGTCTCCCAATTGCTCGGTTGATAAAGGCACAGTGTGAAAAGAAGACCAGGAAAGCAAGAACATTTAGATAACTTGTGTCTTGTTGTCCTTACTTTAGCATGTCGACCATTACTCCAGGACCAAAGCTATTGCTGACCAGATGGTACTAGCCGCTGACGGAACCCCGATGAAGGGTAGGTACCATTGAGCCACAGCATTGCTTTCTGTCACAAAATGGGGTTATAGGTGGGATAGTCAGGCACTGGAAGATTTTCTTGTTGACCCTTGAATTTCATACAAGAAGAAACCTTTTACCATCAGATTTCGCCTGGATTTGACCTCAAGCCCCAAAGATGAAATGGAGCCCACTATGCTATCCATTCCCACTTATGTATGTTTTATGCGGATTTCTCCTGAGGAAATGTGATATTTGGATGGAATACTAATTTCAGTAAATTAACACTGTGGTGCATCTGCCTGGGAGGGTTTATAGATTGGATGTCGATAGCTTTTCAAAAACTAAATCTAATAAACAAGCAAAGAAAGTAGCAAGTGTCCTCTTTAAAAATGAATGTAGCCCTGAGCAGCTTCAGTCTATACTGGATATAGTTTCCACCAGAATGTTATCAAATGTGGTTTCTTTTACTTGTCAATTGTGGATTTTGAAGTTAACAGCTAAAAGTTAATTTTGTGTGTAATCTTATGGACCCAAAACAGTGAGTATTGACAGGATCAATCAATATGTTATCAATTGATTTGTAAAAATAGTGATCATTTAGTTATTACTGAAGACAAGCAATTAGAAGCTTGATATGACACCCACACACAATGTGAAAGGCAATATAGAAGTACAATTTGTTATGTGTATGCGTGTGTGCGTTTGTGTGTGTGGGATATATTAGTCATTCACTACATGATTGTTTTGTGCAACTTTATAATGTGCAAATTAGCTGCCCCATTTGTCCAAAATATACAGTCATTGCACTCAACAGCAATTACCTGTGGGGCACTTTGAGACATTTCAATGTGATAAGTGCAACGATTATTATACGTCACCCGACTCCGCCACTACCTCACCCCTCAGGCCGCTGAAACTCTTGTTCATGCCTTCATCACCTCCAGGCTCGACTATGCAAACGCTCTGCTTGTCGGCCTTCCCAATTCCTCCCTCCACAGACTGCAGATAATCCAGAACTCTGCAGCCCGTGTCTTCTCCCGCACCAAACTCCGTGACCCCATCTCCCCCATTCTTGCCCAACACCATTGGCTCCCTATCCTTCAGAGGATCCAGTTCAAGATCCTGGTCCTCACCTACAAAGCCCTCCAATGCCTCGCCCCACCCTACCTCTGCGACCTCCTAACCCCCTACCAACCCGCCCGTTCCCTCCACTCAGCCGGCTCTGGCCTGATCCACGTTCCCCGACCCACTCACCCCACCATTGGCGGGAGAGCCTTCAGCCACTCTGCCCCCAACCTCTGGAATTCCATCCCCCAGTCACTCCACCTCGACCGCTCCTTAGCCGCCTTCAAGTCCCGCCTCAAATCCCTCCTCTTCGACCGTGCCATCGGCCACTCCCCCCTTCCCCTCCCCTTACTTTTCCCCCCCCGACCCCAGCTCGGATCTGAAATGCTGTACCCTATCCAGCGCCTTGGGACGTCCTCCCGACGTGAAAGGCGCTATACTAATGTAATCTTGTTGATGTTGTTGTATTATAATATAAGCAATGTTATCTATGTACATATAACATTTTTAAAATCCTTTTGGGTGAATTTTATGCCGTTTAGGAATGTTATTGGCAGTACCTAAGTTATAACTGCACTTCCCAGGGTGACCTCGGAGGTGCGAGAGCCACGTTTCTTTAACGCTGTTGAGAATTTTCCATTGTGAAACAGCTACCTAATGGTGTACGCTTAACCCTATCTGCACACCGATTAGCTGACAGTATTACTGTCATCTAATTTATCCAGATGTGCAACTTGATACATTGGGTCCTGTGATAGCCGGGCTAAAATTAGCAGCAAAATAGCAGGATCAATTAACATGACACTGCATTAGCATTTATTCGGAGGATCAACCATGCCATTCGACATGTTTTGCAGCCACAATAATGGATTTTAAACAGTGTGGGAAATGAGTGTTTTACTTTCCTAACTTCCCACTCGCCGCCATTGATTTCTGCAGTTAGCATCCCAGGCTTGGGATCCGGCTTGTTCCTTAATTCATTCCATGATTTTAGATCATATGAACTTTGAAGTACCTGAATCCAATGCATTTCTATAAGTCACGCAATGTTAGTAACTGTTTCCAGGCAGAACACAGCCATCCATTTCATAATTACAATCCTTGCATTTGATATAGAGCCTGTAACATCGATACACCTCACAGGAAATTGTTGTCAAGTGTATTACCTATTTGTAGACAAATGCAGCAGCAATGTATGCTCATAGCAAAGTCCCACAAACAGTCACGAAGTGAATGACCAATCATATAAATATATATATATATATATGTGTGTGTGGTGCGTGTTATGGGTGTGTGCGTGCGGATGCATTTATCTGGAGGCTTGTTGGTCAGGACACCTGGAGTAACTTCCTTCGGATCTTTAACATCTTCATTGTGGGCTCGGTTTTAACGTTATGTCTGAAGGATGGCATCTCCTTAAGCAATAAGGCGCTCCCCCCAGCACTGCACTGGAGTGTTAGATTGTTAGACTATTAGACTGTTAGCTCAAGTCCTGACATGCGGCTTGATCCACAACCTTCTGAGAGGACATTGCCTAGCAATCCTAGATAACCCTAGCAACTAAAGCAAAACTGTTTCCTTAAAATGAGAAGGTGGGATGTTCTTTTACAGGGGGAAACACACTTCGTACGTGTGTGCTCCGTCCACCAGGGATCTACGGACCCCAAGAACAACGCCATTTGTCGCGGGTGGTGGTAAGTAGGCTATTAAATTCAAAGTTACCTTTATAGTCCGCAAACCGTCCAGGAAGCTGACACTCACCTGTTATACTTCACCTATACAGTGATGATGGCTCCATGAGCTATCTGACGCACTGTTTGAGAGACACAAGATGCACCACAATTGTATTGTTTCTCTTCACCCCATCAAATGCTCACTTGCTGCTCAGCGTATGATTGAACCCACACAGTTCAGGAAGGTTCAATTCCTCCTGTGTGTTGAGTCAGCCCATAATATCTGGAGTGGCAACAAGGCATTACAATTGACCTTGAACCTGCCTGCGGTAAGGAGCGGAAAATTAACTCTGGTTATCTCCCCTTCTCCCTTGCTCAGTGTCTAACCCTGCTACTGTAAACAATATTGAAGGGTGCTATATAAAACATTATTCTCTTAGCTTCAATAGCCTTTGGCATGTTTCCTTACTCCACAATCCTCTGTTTATCTAGCAGTAGGTAGGAGCCCGGTTGATAGTTACTTGCCAGATTGGCAGATTGCTGTCTGGGGATAATAATCCCTTTTTAAAAAAATGTGGTTATTCAATCCATGACTGTTTGTGGGGCACTGCTGTGCACAATTGGCTGCCAAATATACAGTCAATTCACTTTACAGAATATTCTGGGAAGCGCTTTGAGACATCTCAACAACGTGATAAGGCACCATCACAAATGCAGATATTATTATAGCCATTTGCGTTCTAATAACCTTCTGAATGAAAACATTTTTGCTAACCACCCCGTCAACTCTTGTTTTGAACTTCCTTGCTTGTCGGCCAACTCCTCCCTCCATAGGCTGCAGATCATCCAGAACCCTCAGCCCATGTCCTATCCCGCAAGAGGCTCCATGACCTCGCTCGACTCCACTGGTTTCCCATCACACAGAGGATACAGTTCAAGATGAAAAACGTATGGAACGTATTCGGTCTAGTTTGATTAATGGGGGTGAACAGACTCAACCTCATTCAACAATAAAACAAACTGCTGGGTACATCCATCACCACCCGGTACCTCTATAAATACAGTGCAAAGTGAAGTGACATTAGAACGCAGACCTGCGGTGCTGCACTTCACAGTTGCTCAATGACGCGTTGTTTGACACTCTTTACAGGTGAACATTGAGAGACGATTGTTCAGCTTCAGCTTCGGAAACCCTAATGCCAGGATGAACTGGGTGCACGTGGACAATCTAGTGGAAGGTCATATTCTGGCCGCAGAAGCGCTAACAGTGACCAAAGGTCACGTAGCAGTAAGTGCCGATCCCAGCCCTCCCATCCCTGAGATAGGGCTGCCAGTGAAACTTTAGCATTGGGCCACTCACCTGTCTCTCGATAGTCTAAACCCAGCTCCCCATCCCTGTAGCGGCTGAACAGACCAACACTCAGTGAATTTTGATTCACAATACTCGGGAGAGCTGATATGGAACAATCAAATGGAGACCTGGCTGTGAATGTTTGGCCGTCGTAAGTCAATAAATGTCAAATAATACCAGTTGTATTTGACACAGTCCTGTTGTGTCTCAAAAGCATTTCACTCAAAATATCACATTAGAATGGGGTTGGGCTGTATTAAGGTATCAGTCGCTGGGTGGATCTTGAGCTGGTGGCTGAGAGATGAGTGCCACCATCACCTGTGCTTAAGTACGATGATTCCACACATGAATTCAAACTAAAGGATGAGCTCTGAGGAATGATTGGATAAACTAGGCCTTTTCGGACTTGAAAAAGAGACATTTCCTGGTGTCTGACTTAAAACTGCCTCTTATTACCCTGACCTGTGCCCTCTCCTGCTGTTTTAGTGTATCTGAAACCAGTGTTCAGGATTTACTTCCTCCGACCTATATAGCCAGTACCTTATATACCTTTTATAAGGTCCCCTCTGATACATCTGTTCCCAAGACTGAAGAGCCTTTGCTTAGCATGATTTCACCCAGGTTTCGGTTGATGAATTCACTAAGAAGCTGGAGAATTTCAGTTGAGCTGAATGATTTAATGCAGTCCAGATTCTTGCCTTATTTTCAGAGTGGCCAAGTTTATTACATCAACGATGGAGATTCCGTCAATGTATTTGACTGGCTAACACCGCTGGTAGGTATTTGACTGGCTTGTACCTTCCAGTAAGTCCTGGGAAGCGCTTTGTGACATCCTCCTGACACGAAAGGCACTATGTCAGAAGTAAGGATTGTTATTACTGGTGTGCCCATTCCTGACTGTATCCAGCAGCCTTCTGTTTATGGATGTTGGATCAAGGCCTCAGCTGCTGACCTCAGCGATTGAATGACCTGACACATCTCACAGGCCGATCAACACACATGAACAATTCTCCCATAGGCGAGGTACAGGAGAGCTGCCAGCGTGAGGCAGCCCTTTGAAAGAGGAGGAGAAATAAAGAATTGCAATCTCCTCAAGCCTTGCGATTGTTAAACATGGTCTTGTGTTAATTTCTCTGTGACTGTGGGTTGAAAGTGAAGGATTTAGATCGTCCTATTTTCAAATGCTAGAATTCAAATTTGTGCTTGTTCATTTACCATAACATTCCAAGCTCATGTTTTTTCTCCCAAATCTCTTAGTTTGTGAAATTGGGATACAGGCCATGGATCCGTTTGCCTGTGCAATTTATTTACATAGCAGGTACAGTACTTATAATAATACATTTTGTCATTTGGCTCAGGCTGTAGCAACGCTTGCCTATGGGTCAAAAGGTTCTGGGTTCAAGTCTTAAGCCTTATAAACTGAGACTGCAATGCAGTGATGGGGAATGCATTGTCCTCTCTGCCTGTTCAGGTTATAGACCTGGTGACACTATTCGAAAATAGGAGGGAGTTTCTCCCGGGGTCGTGGTCAACAATCCAGATTAATCAATCGTTCACATTATAGATGTTTGTGGGATCTCGCTGTGCCCGATAGCTGTCACGTATTCCTACTGTAAAACACTTTGAGATGTTTTGAGGTGATAAAGTTCTAAACAAATACAAGTTCTCCCTTCCTACAATGTACTATCCTGTATTGCAAAGTACAGTTCCTTATATCTCGTTACTTATCAGAGCTCCAGGATTGAATGTCATTTGGAGACACAGTTGGTTCCAAGCTGATGTGCCTGGTGTGAGAACATTGGAATCGAGTCAATGCTCTGTGGCAGCTTCAGTAATCCAGACAAGTTCACACTACCCCAGTGCACTGTTGAGGGAGCAGAGCAACCCCATATCAATGACCCAATGTTGAAATGAAAAGCTCCCAGGAAGTTAAAGTTCTCCCATCACTGACCCACTAATTTCCTTTAGCCCATTCCAATGTCACAACATTTTCCATGGCAACTGCATGAGTCTCCGCGCGTTGATTGTGGGTGGGGGGCGTCATGCCCAATGTTGGTTGGATCAACGATTGGGCCAAATCCCTTGCCTGTAGGACTCTTACAGTATGGGATCAATTCAAACCCAGGAGCCAGAGGTGATAGTTATCACTGGAGAGGTTTGTTTGAAGAATTTGATATCATCCTCCAGTAACGAGGTGTTTCTTCGGCTAGTATTCCAGGCCCAAGCTCTCGTCCTGGTATTTCATTCCAGTCATTGTTTAGTCTCTGTGTAAAGAAGTAAATGTCCCCAGCTAAGAAACTTTTACCTTGTAATTGCTTTAAATGGCTCAATATTTCTCCCACAAAATATACAGTCAATTCATTTTACAATACATTCTGTGAAGTGCTTTGAGACGTCTCGAGGACATGATAAGGCGCAATATCAAATGCAAGCATTATTATCATTTTGGCTAAATTTTAACTTCATTAGTCACTGTTAGTCACGTCATTAGTCCTAACCTGCATTAATCACTGTTCGTGATTCCTCTGTAGCTATAATAATGGAATACCTTCATATGGCTCTGAGACCCATTGTGGAAATCTCTCCCTTACTAACCAGGAATGAGGTAAGAACCTTTTCGGACAGTAACAGTAATACATATTGGCAATTAAAAGAATGCCATTTTGAGAATTAATAAAAAGATCTTCACAACATTTAGCGACTTTCAGACTTCTTTTCCGTCTTTTGGCAAATAGCATTTTAATGTGAAATGCAGAAGTACAGTAAATATAATCTTTAATGGCAAACAACAGCAGCAACTTGCACTGATATCCACAAATACAGATGTACAGTAATATGTTAATGCCCCACCTGCTGGGCCAGAGTGGAATAGCACCTGGTAACTGCCCTTCATTTCTGGCTCAGTTGGTTCCACTCTCACCTCTGTCGGAAAATTACAGGTTCAATTTCAACATCACGACTTGAACTCATGATCCAGGCTGATATTTCGGCCACAAACACACACTTTACAATATATTCTGTGAAGCGCTTTGAGATATCTCAACGATGCTCCATATCAAATGCAAGGATTATTATTATTATTATTATTAATGGCTATCACATTTGCCTACAAAAATAAGCGTGACCCTATCACCCCCATCCTCGCCCAACTCCACTGGCTTCCCATCACCCAGAGGATACAGTTCAAGATCTTGGTCCTCACCTTCAAAGCCCCTCATGGCCTTGCTCCCCCCTACCTCTGCGACCTTCTAACCCCCTACCAACCTTCATGTCCCCTGCCTCGCCCGCCCCACCATTAATGGGTAAGCCTTCTGCCACTCTGCCCCCACTCTCTGAAACTCCATTCCGCAGTCCCTCTGCCTCGCCCCCTCCCTTACCTACTTCACAATCTGTCTCAAGACGCTCCTATTCGACCAGGGCTTCTATCACCCTCCTTCCCTCCTGCTCTCAACCTTCTCCGATCCCGACCCCCAGCTCGGGTCCGAAGCACTGATTGTCCAGCGCCTCGGAACGTCCTCCCGATGTGAAAGGTCCTATACAAATGTAATTTTGTTGTTGTTGTATCTCGTGCATTTGATGCCCTCAGGTCCGGAACATCGCTGTGACACACACCTTCAAGATAGACAAAGCCAAAGAACATCTGGGATACTGTCCAAAAAAGTACAATTTTGCTGACTCTGTTGAGCATTACATCAAAACCAGATGCAAGCAGGACTACGGCAGCCCTCTCCTATTCAAAGTGATGATTCTCCTCAGTGGCATTTTACTCTGCATTTTTGTTTCTCAAATGTCCAAGTTCCTTTCCAAAACCCAGATCTGAAAAATAAACCAGCCCTGGAAAGAGCCACCTCCCCCGTCAAGTCGTTTACAATGAAACATTTCAAATCAAGTCAAATCTCACTGCCAGATGGAACTCAGCGATGAAGCTTTGTTCCACTTCCATATCCATCAATCTATCTCTGGATTCCATTCCGACAATCTATCTCTGGATTTTCCATGCCTAGGTGGGATGCTCTTAAGCATGTGTCAGATACTTAGCTGACCAAAAAATATATATTTTAGTCAATCGCCCTGTAAATGACTGCTTGGCCGGTTTGTAAAGGTGCTAATGGGATTTAAAATGCAATCTGGGGCTAGTAACCCATGGACTAACAATGATCAACCGTGTACAGGTTGAACCCTTAATTTTGCAACAAGCAATGAAAAAATGACAGAATCGCAGCACAAACCATTTGCATTGGTGTTTAGTTACATAATAATAATTAAGTTAAGCACTTAAGAAAGGCTCATATGACAATGAAGTTAAGTGCTTGTAAGTGTTTGAACATGGTTAGCCCAAACGGGGGTTCAGATCTGATCGTTCAATATTCTTCCTTGAAAGAAACTGCAAGATTTCTGACACAAGTAATGTCCTTGTCTTTTAACTAAGGTGCATTTTTTTTTTTTACGAATTAGCACCACAAACTTTTATAGTAAATTAACACTTGAGTTTTTCACCAGAGTGATGGTCCTTTTACATTTTCTGTCACCATGTTATTTTGTTGTGAATGACCCGTATTATATCTCCACAGAATATATTGTAAAGTGGATTGACTGTGTATTTTGTGGGCGGTGGGAACTCCGCTCCAACGTGACCTCTCTTCAGAACCCAGTTCCCTCAAGTCTGCCAGATGGGATTGTGGTTGCCAGAAGTGGTCCTTGGCTGTGTTTTTTTTTGTTTAAGAAATCCTGGAAAATTGACTCTGTAACATTTCTTGGATTGGTGAAAGGGGCTGAGAGGGAGGGAGAGCAACGAGCCATGGTTCCCACTCCCGATCGCTGTCCAGTGACCACTGCTGGAAAGTGCACGTGACGGAGGCTTAAATTAGGCCAGAATTCAAGATCCTCACCCTCACCTACAAGGCCATTCACGGCCTTGCTCCCTCCTACCTCTCCGACCTACTATCCCCCTACCTACCTGCCCATACCCTCCGTTCCTCTGGCTCCGGTCTGCTCCACATCCCCCGCCCCAACCGCCCTACCATCGGTGGCCGGGCTCTCAGCCCCGAGGCTCTGGAACTCTATCCCCCAGTGCCTTTGCCTTCGCTTCCTCCCTTTCCTCCTTTAAGGCCGGTCTCAAGACCTTTCTCTTTGACCGTACCTTCAGCTCCCCTCTCGACTCTCTACCCCCTCCTCGCTCCCTCCCTTCCCTCCCCTCACCCTGACCATTTCCCCCCAAGGCTCGGGTCCCGACCCAACTGTCCAGCGCCTTGGGACGTCCTCCCGACGTGAAAGGCGCTCTATAAATGGAATCTTGTTGTTGTTGTTGAGCCCCTTGTCCCTCTCGCCACCTCTCCCTGGTCACTCGCTGTCGAGGTTGACATGAGAGCGATGGACGAGATGCTGGAGAGCTGCTGGTGCCTGAAGAACCGTAGCCTTCTGAATGCTGGACACAATATCAAAGCATTGCATCTCAAGTCACTTGAGACCTTGTCCATTGCGATGTCTCCACGACGTGATAAGGTTACTACGTCAAATGCGAGGATTATTATTATTATTAATGACGTATCTTCACTCGTAAAGTTTCTTGGCACAAAGGGTCAGTCGGGGGAAAGGAATAACAATTTATATTTAATCTTCACGTCACGGGGCGTTACCTCCAACACCTTTCACCTCGACTCAAAGCGCTTCACGCAGCTGTCGCAATAACAACCCACTGCTCCCGTCCTGCAAACGTTGCCTCAACGACAACGATTCGGAAGGAGCGGAGAAATTCACCGGGAAATTGCCGTCTGCAGTATGGACGACACCGATCGGATTTCCGGCGGCGGCGGCGGCGGAAACAAAAAACCGACAGCGAAACGGAACGGCACCGCGCTCCGGCCGCCACCGCCAAAGGCCACCGCCCGCCGCCGCCAATGGCCGCCGCCGCCAATGGCCGCCGCCGCCAATGGCCGCCGCCGCCAATGGCCGCCGCCGCCAATGGCCGCCGCCGCCAATGGCCGCCGCCGCCAATGGCCGCCGCCGCCAATGGCCGCCGCCGCCGCCGCCAATGGCCGCCGCCGCCGCCGCCAATGGCCGCCGCCGCCGCCGCCAATGGCCGCCGCCGCCGCCGCCAATGGCCGCCGCCGCCAATGGCCGCCGCCGCCGCCGCCAATGGCCGCCGCCGCCGCCAATGGCCGCCGCCGCCGCCAATGGCCGCCGCCGCCGCCAATGGCCGCCGCCGCCACCGGCAATGGCCGCCGCCGCCGCCAATGGCCGCCGCCGCCGCCAATGGCCACCGCCGCCGCCAATGGCCACCGCCGCCCCCGGAACCGGCCCCGGATCTTCCGCGTTCCCTTTCCCGGCTTTTGACGCACAAGCGGAAAGACGCCTCCCTCCGCTCCCCGGGGAGCGGGAAGTCCGTCGGGGGGGGGGGGCTCCGCGGGACCGTTACCAGCGACGTGGCCCGCGCGGGCAATTTCATTCGGGCCGGAGAGCGAGAGAGAGAGCGAACCAGAGAGAGAGAGAGAGAGAAAAAAATATATAACGGGGGTGGATTGTAAAAAAAAAAGCCCCTCATTGCAAATTGTCGTTTTTTTTTTATTTATTAAACGATGAGCCGTCTTGTCCTCATTTTTTTTTGGGGGGGGTTCTCAGTAAATCTCAACCCCCCCCCCCCTCCCTCCCTCCCACCCAAAAAAAAACCGACTGCTGGCAGCGGTGGGATTCGAACCCACGCCATCGAAATGACTGGAGCCTAAATCCAGCGCCTTAGACCACTCGGCCACGCTACCGCGGTGGGAAAGCTTTTCTCGGCCGGTCTTTACCCGTTCATACGGAACGCGGCTGCGTCGGCGGTGGAGGGGGGGGGAGGGCGCGGGCGCCATGTTGTCTCGTGCTCGCGGCTGGGCCTCGAGAGCGTGTCCCCTCCCCCCTCACCCCGGTTTCACTGCGGCGACATGTTGGCGGGGCCGGTGGTGGGGAAGGAGGCGGCGCTACACACACACACAGAGAGAGAGTCAGTGAAAGGCTTTTAACTTGATGTCAAGCGAGAGAGAAGCGTGAAGAGAGGCGCCAGAGGAGGAGGAGGAGGTCGGCGGTGGGTGGGCGGGCGGTGGAGGGGGGGGGGGAGGACCCGCCAAACCGTTGCGGTCGCCATGGCTACGAGGATCAGCCGCGGCCCACGCGGAGAGTTGGGCCCTGAGTTGGACGTGACCGCAAGACCGCGAGAGGAAGGGCTGCCAGAATGGTCAGGAGGAGGTCAGAGAGCTTCCCCCCCACCCACCCCCACCCCGAGACAAGACCATTGGGGTGGGGGTGGGGGTGGGCACCCGATGGAGGTGTTTTATGGATAACCTTTGCAGTTGATACAGTGCCTCGTCCCGTCTTCGCGACGTAATAATAATAATAATAATCCTTGCATTTGATATAGCGCTTTTCACGTCGGGAGGACGTCCCAAAGCGCTTCACAGAACACACTGTAAAGTGAATTGACTGTATATTTGTGGGCGAACGCGGCAGCCAATTGCGCACAGCAATGTCCCACAAACAGTCGTAGATTGAAAATGACCAATTTATTATTGTTTTTGGTTTTGGAGGGATTATTATTAGGCTCTGTGTGGAGTAAGGAAACTTGCCCAAGGTTTCTCCCTGCAGATACGCTTCGCCGGACATGCGGCCGCTGGCCGGACAGCGGACGGACGAGCTTGTCTTACTTTTCGGGGGTGAAAGACGGAGGCGGTTTAAAAGTTATCGGAGGTGTTCCGAAAGAGGAGGAGGGGGTTGGGGGGGGGGGGGAAACGCTAATAGGTTGGTTTCCGCGCCCTGGTAAAGTCCGCACCGCAGGGGCGTTGAATGTAAGAGGGTGACTTGACGGGTCTGACGGAGGGTTTAGGAGGCTATTCTGGACGAATGAGATCAGGTCGGCCGAAGGGCCTTCTTCATCCAAACTGCTCTTGTGAGGGAGGTTCTTTAACCAGAGGGTGGTGAGAATGTGGAGTTATACTATTATTATTATTATTATTGCTGCCAGAAGCCGTTGGGCAAAGCAGAAGGCATCGATGCATAATTGAAGTAGACCCGTCTCATCGGCGTGACTTAAGAGGGGCGGACCTGGAAGTGGGGGTATTCTTTTCCACATGGGGTCAATTTCCACATGTATGCGGATAACACCCCACTGTACCTCTCTGCCTCCACCCTTGACTCCAGGACCACTGCTGTCCTGACAGAATGTCTGTGAGACATCAAGTCCTGGATGAGAGCTAACTTTCTTCAGTTGAACGTCAACAAGACCGATTGGCTCCCGTCAGCGCCTCCACATCTCAGGCGCTGACAACATCACCATCCATGGTTGCACACTCCACCAGTCCGGAAGCTTGGCGTCTTGTTTAACCCTCAACTATCCTTTCTATCCCACATCCATGCCATGACTCGCTCTGCCTTCCCCCACCTCTGCAACATTGCCCAGCTCTGCCACTGTCTCACACTGCAGTCCGCTGAAATCCTTCATTATATCGAGACTTGACTTTGAAACTCCCTGCTTGTCGGCCTCCCCAGCTCCTCCCTCTATAGGCTGCAGATCATCCAGAACTCTGCAGCCTGTGTCCTCTCCCGCATCAGGCTCCATAACCCTATCACCCCAACCGTTGCCCGACTCCACTGGCTTCCCATCATTCAGAGGATGCAGTTCAAGATCCTGGTCCTCACCTTCAAATTCTTCCATGGCCTTGTTCCCCCCGCCTACCTCTGCAACCTCCTAACCCCTGCTCCCTTCACTCAGCGGGCTCAGACCTGCTTCACTTCCCCCCCTCACCCGCCCCACCATTGGCAGGTGGGCCTTCTGCTACTCTGCCCCTACCCTCTGGAACTCCATCCCACAGTTCCTCCTCGCCCCCTCCCCATCTCCTTCAAGACCCATCTCAAGACCCTTCTCTTCGCCTGTGCTTTCGATCACCCTGCTTCCCCCTCTGACTTCCACCCTCCCTAATCCTGACCTCCAGGTTGGGTGCAAAACACTTACTGTCCAGCGCCTTGGG